TTATCCAAAATATTAAAATAATATTTCCAACCATTTTATAAGATCCTTCAAATTTTTGAAAAATTCCAATTCGATCTGAATTATCAATTCCTTATCGGCTTTAACTATTTTCTAATTTTTTTTCTTCACTAAAATTCCAAATCCAAAAATATGATTTCTATAAAACCCCACTCTCAAGAGTAAACTATCTATTTATGAAATAAATTATTTTTATGAAATTATCACTTAATTCCCTAAACTTTTTCCCAATTTTCTATTTTGTCCATCAAACTTCCAAAATTTGCATTTTGGTAATTATCTAAATTTTTGGGGTATTACACACTCACCTTAGCCTTGTTTCCTTTGAATCAATCCTAGTCATTCAATTGTTCCAGAACGGGATTACGTTCTATATCTACACAATAATACATGGATCCATATCAGTATTCTAATTGATATACTCTAATTGTTTACTCCTTAGACTAAAAGAAAGGTTGATTACATCTTTTATTTAAGGTAGGCATCGGTAAAGTCTGTAGTGCATCGATACATTCCTTAACATGTGTATCGATGCACTAATTATGCATCGATACACAAATTACTTTCAATGTTTTCATTTTAAGGGGTGCATCAATACACTTCCTGTGCATCGATACACACTGAATAATTTCTAGAAATTTACCCTTGATGCATCGGTACATGTTGAATGTGTACCGATGTACACTAGCCCAGAATTCCAATTTACGCACGAAAATTACTTCATTCTAACGTAATTGTGTCGTATTTCAACCCCTTTCATATCCTTAACTTACATACACCTACTTAAACCACTTCATACTCATTCAACACCTCTTTAACTTCCAACTCTCATCCTCCATATGAAATTCATGAATTATACTCAAATTTCAACATGTTCTAAATTAAATTCTAACACTTAATACTTTTTAATTAAGTTGATGACAAGTCAAATCCAACCTCAAATTTTAATTATGAACTCTATTTCAAGATTTCACTCAAGAACTTCTAATCTTTAATCTCTCCTAACTCCTTCATCTTTTGATTTTAAGATAACTTAAGCTTTCCTTAGGCTTAGTTATCATCTAATGATCATAACTCAAACTTAAATTCAACAAGAAATTAGGTAATAAAAAAACTCACCTTATCAAGCTTGAACTCACGGCTGAAAGAATGAAGAAGAAAGAAAGCTCTGGAGACTTGATATTTTTCCTTCCCCTCTACACGTGGAATCATATATATATATATATATATATATATATATATCCTCTCTCAATTAAATTATCTTTCCTACCAAATGACCATTTTGTCCTTTAATTCTTCCCTCTTTATAATTAAATCATACACAACATTTTTCATATAAGTCCCCAAAATTTTCAATTTATCTATTTTGACAAAAAATTCGAAAATATTTCAATTTAGTCACTAACCCGATATTGAGGATGCTACAATGAGACATCGGTATAATTACGTTGGTGCTTTCAGAACATTGGATGATAATTGGGTGTCGGATCAACAAACGCTTTGTTCGATGGCGGTTAAATTTTATAAGGAGTTATTCACTAGTACCAATGGATATGAGGTTGAGTACTAGATCCAGGGGTATTTCCCGATAATTTCTGATTATAAGTTGAGCGGCCTTACGAGACCATTATTCAAGGAAGAAATTTGTGACGTCCTTTTTAGCATGAGTCAGCTAAAGGTACCTGGAGTAGATGGGTTACATGTTTTTTTCTACCAAAAGAATTGTGATATAGTCAATTTCAATGTTTGTTAATTGATTCAAAATATTTTTGCAGGAGGGTAGTTTGATAATGAACTCAATCGCACTCTTTTGGTGTTAATACCAAAAGTTAAAGCACCAAAATATTTTAATCAATTCCGCCCTATTAGTCTATGCTCTGTATTATATAAGTAGGTTACAAAGATTATTGTGAATCGGCTGAAGCCTCTGATGAGCCACTAGATATCGGAGACCCAGACGAGCTTTGTTTCGGGCAAGTCAATCACTGATAATATTATTGTTGCGCAAGAGGTAGTGCACTCCATGAGATTAAAGAAATGAAGGATCGACTATATGGCCATAAAAATGATCTAGAATAAACTTATAACCGCCTGGAATGGCCTTTCATCGAAGATATACTAAGAGAGCTTCACATACCGGATAACCTAAGGCTATTTATTATGCGTTGTGTAACTTCTGTCTCGACCCAGGTACTTTGGAATGGTGCTATGTCTAATTCTTTTACTCCCACAAGAGGACTACGTCAGGGGGATCCGCTTTCACCTTATTTGTTCGTGTTGTACATGGAGAGGTTGGCACATGCGATATCGAGAGCGGTCAATAATGGGGAATAGAAGTCTATACGTCTATGCCTACATGGGCCTGCTCTCTCTCATCTTTTCTTTGCGAATGATTTGGTGCTTTTTGCGGAGGCTTCAATTGAGTAATGTAATGTTATTCGGGAAATTTTGGACCTATTCTGCAAGTTCTCGGGTCAGAGAATAAACATCCAGAAATCTACTATATATTACTCGAAGAATGTGGTATCAGATTTGAGAACTTCCCTCAACTCAGCTTTCGGTTTCCAAGAAGTTCAAAACTTGGGGAAGTATCTTGGAGTACCTCTTCTGTACTCTAGGATTACGAGGGCTTCGTATAGTTATATTGTTTCGAGAGTTCGAGATAAGCTCACAGGTTGGAAGGCAAAATTTATGTCTTTGGCCGGAAGGATCACATTGGCAAAAGCAGTACTATCGGCGATCCCTTCTTATTCCATGCAATCAAATAAACTTCCGAAAGGGATTTGTGAAGAGATCGAAAGACTAATTCAGGGTTTTATTTAGGATCGTACTGAGTCCGGAGGAGGAGTATCTCTTGTTCAGTGGGAGAATGTTTGTAATCCAATCATCAATGGTGGCCTCGGGATGAAGAAATTAAGCATTAAAAAGTATACTTTTCTCATGAAATTAGATTATAAATTGGTAGTTAATCCCGACCAATTGTGGGCTAGAGTGCTAAGAGCTAAGTATAAATGGGTGGATTTGCTTCCCGAAACCATTAACCGTACAGGCAGTTCGCATCTTTGGAGGGGCATCTCTCACGTGTGGAAAGATGTACGACAGAGTTTGGTTTGGAATATTGGTAATGGGCGTAATGTGAATTTTTGGTGGGATGATTGGCTTAGCGATGTGGGGCCTTTGGAAAAGTATATTGTGAATCAAACAAAGAGAGCTAATCTTCCAAATAGGCCGGTAGCTGCTATGGTCGAAAGGCATGGGAAATGGCGATGGGAGGATATTATCGATAAATTACCAAGCGATATTGTGCATAGACTGGAAGCAACGATGCCTCCTCAGCAGAATTGTAGAATAGATACGCTGGGCTGGAATTGGAGTGTTGATCGACACTTCTTAATCAAATCAACATACGAGTTAAAGCGAGATTGTCAAGGTGACAATACGCACAAGGTATGGGAGGTTATAGCGAAGTATCGAGGGCTACAAAGGACTAAGATCTTCTTATGGTTAATGATCGATTACTTACGAATACAGAAAAGGTAAGACGACATATGGCCACTCATTCTTGCTATGGAATTTGCGGGCGTTCAGGTGAAACAACGGATTATCTATTTCGCCAATGTCAATCATCCATGGTAATTTGGGCATCTTTAATTAAACCCAAAAAATTAGATGATTTTTTCACAATAGATCTTATAGAATGGGTGCATATTAATATCGCTTCCTCGGGGTTTAATGCGAGAAAAGAAGGAGAATGGGATTTATTGTTTGGTTCGATTCTGTGGTTAATTTGGAAGGATCGGAATAGGAGGATTTTTTACCCAGAGTACATTGAGAATGATTCCATACTAGTGCGGGGTTGGCGATTAAGCCGTGAAGCTAGTAGTGCATTAGACTCAGCCTTATCATTAGCTCAATCTTCTCGTCGTTTGTTGAATATGATTGATCCTTGGTTTCCGCCTCCTCTCAATTGGTGTAAGATTAATATCGATGGTTCCTGAAAAATAGGTGACAGGTTTGCTACATGTGGGGGTGTTATTAGATCCTTGAATGGTGGTTGGATGCTTGGATTCTCTAAAGCGATCGGAATTTTCTTTATTGTTGAAGCAGAATTGTGGGGTATTCATGAATGACTTTGTCATGCTTGGAATCTTGGGGAGAGGCAAGTAATGGTGGAAACTGATTGTTTGGAGGTTGTTCGAATGTTGCAGAAAAGTTATAAAAGAGCTTTAAATCATCATGCTCCTAGATTGTGTTAAGGGGTTGTTACATCGGGATTGGAATGTTTTAAAGCATATTCATCGGTCTGCAAACAAGGTGGCTGATACGTTAGCGAAGTTAGCTACAGCGAGGGGCGAAGTCCACATGATTTTCACCACTTCGCCAATGGAAGTCGTCAACTTGGTGCAACAGGAAGCTGTTGATTGTGTTTTGACAACAGAGTTTTAATTTGTGTAACTTCTTCATCTTTATTTTATCAAAAAAAAAATAGTAAAAGAAAAAGTAGTTTAAGAAATAATCTCTCTTATGTATGATATTAAAATTTATATGCAGACTCTTTAGATATGTTTTTATTAAGTATAATATCATGATTGTTACGTATAGACTAACAAATATATAAATACAACCATAAATTAAAAGATTTGATTTAGATAAGTCTTTTAAATTCATCGAGAGTCTTGTCAAGGACTCTTGAATTTTATCGAATTCCTTTAGAGGTGATCTTAATAGTTTGATGGAGAAACCATATCTCGAGAGATAAAATTATATTCTCGAAAATATGACATAAATAAATGTTTTAAAAAATCGATACAACATATTAAAAATTTCCCATCACCAATTGGAGAACAGAGTGACGATCTTTATCCCACCTGCTCAAAAGCTTAATACTATAATTCAATCAACTTGGACTTGTGATTCTCTTTCAGACAATTAGAGAGTGAAACGCTCTCCTTCCGACATCTGTCAACATCCGGTAGCTTCTCCCTCAATTCTCGCCACTAACCATATATAATGACAGTTTCCCCTTCAAGCTTAAGAACCATATATCTTCAATTCAATAGCAATGACCAACTCAGACCCACCTCTCCTTAACCATTATGTAGCACCTTCGAGCCACTCGACTCGATGTGACGAACCTCAAACCCGACTCGTTATCGAAGAATGCCGACTTCCTTCGATCGACTTGAGTGGTCTAAGTAGTCGAGACGGAACGGTTCGCCGAGCTTGTGTATCTACCATTTGTCGAGCATCATCGGAATGGGGATTCTTCCAAGTGTTGAACCATGGGATTAGCCCTAGACTAATTGAGAAAATGAGAAGTGAACAAGTGAAGTTGTTCACAACACCCTTTGAAAGGAAAGCTAGTAGTGGACTATTGAATAATTCCTACAGGTGGGGAAATCCAAGGGCTACTTGTCCTAAACAATTCTCCTGGTCCGAGGCTTTCCATGTCCCTCTTACCAAGGTTTCGGATGAAGCTTGTTATGGAGAGTTTATATCTTTACGGTAACATCGATAAAATAACGACCGTAACACCATGTCGTGCCCGAAGTGCTAACGGATAAAATGTTTTCCTCTGGTTTTATACAGGGAAGTGATGACGGAATTTGCGGCTGAGATGTCAAAGTTGGCTAGACTACTAGGAGGGGTTTTGACAGAGAATTTGGGGTACGGGAAAGAAGTGATCAGCAAATTATGCGACGAAAACACCTGCTTCCTTCGCCTGAATCACTACCCGGCATGTCTGATATCTCCGGGGATATTGGGTTTAGTGGCACACACCGACAGTGATTTCCTAACAATTCTATGTCAAGATCAGGTAGGAGGACTTCAAGTCATGAAGGACTCCAAGTGGGTATCTGTCAAACCTAACCAAGACGCTCTTATAGTCAACATTGGCGACCTATTCCAGGTAAAAAGAAATTTTAATTAAAAGAATAAATATTTAAATTATATTTTTTATTTTTTATTTAAAGTTTAAAGTTTTTTTTGGTGAACGAAAATATTTAATGTTTATTTTAATACTATTTAAGGTACATAAAGTTTCATTATATTATCATTTAAGGTACTTATAATTTCATTTTGTTATAATTTAAGGTTACTCGTTCCACTACCATTAAAAAACCCCACAAATGAATAGTTACTTGACATGTGACACTCACACTTATTTCTTATTAATATTAAATATCCAAAACAAAAAGAAGCACTTAGTTTCAAAAAAAAATTAAAAAACTTTTTTTTTTAATTTTCTCAAACCAGTTAAATCTCTAATCCACAAATTCTTAGATCTCCAAATTCCCTTAAAGATCGGAGATCAAGAGGCAAACAGTGGTCGGTGATTCAAGTAATGATATAGTCTCACTGACAATGACGAAAAGATTATGACCAAGTGAAAAAATAATTTTGCCCAATGGATTTTAGCGACGACGTGCAATTTCAGTTAGCGACCAGGGTACGATCGATTAGTGGGTGTGATGATAGAATGAATGGTCAATAATGATTGATTTTGATGTGACATTTGAGATTTAGGGATTGAATAAAAAAAAATTAACTGTTAATGGCTAGATAACTTAAATGATAATTTTGAAACATTAAACACATGCATTGACAAAAAAGTTTAATATTTAAAGTAAATAAGAGATATAATTATTTTGAATTTAATTTAAAAAACTAAAGTAAAAATATCCAATGAGAGTGTAATCAACATTTCAATCACTTGTGTATGTATATAGTTATCTAATTCACCACTAAAAATTCTACAGGCATGGAGCAATGGTGTTTACAAAAGCGTGGAGCACAAGGTGGTGACTAATGCCAAGATGGAGAGATATTCCATAGCTTATTTCCTGTGCCCGTCGTACGATTCTGTGATCGGGAGCTTCGAACAACCGTCGATGTACCGGAAATTTACTTTCGGGGAATACAGAGACCAAGTTCAAGAAGATGTAAGAAAAACCGGCTACAAGGTTGGCCTTCCAAGGTTTCTAGTTAATGGCACAGTACACCAATGATCGACATTTATTTCAATATGGCACTTAATAAGGCCTAATTACTGGGTAGGCAAATTACTTATAAACTTGCGATGGTTTAGTATTTCAATTTTAGTTGGTTAAAAATGCTAATGAATTTATAAAGTTTAATCTTATGGAATAAGAAAAGGAAGATGTGATAATTTATATATTATTATTATTATTTTTTGGGTCGAGTATTGGTGCATATGTTCCTTGTAAGTATGCACCGTCACCGTCGGTGAGTATGTGGTTTCGTAGTGATTATGTGTTTTCGACATGTACTATGCAAATGTAATATTTTTCCGAAAATTTGGATGATTTTCTAAAAGATTTAATCTTGAATGAAAAAACTTCTCTGGTATTTATAGGTTATTTTCGTGTGTGCGTGAACATTTCAGTATTTGTTAAATTATATGAGCGTTTTGACTATTAATTTTCAGTTACTGTATGAACTAACTAGAGTGGTTGATTTGACCATTAATTAATCAGTTTTAATTGTTGCTCAAGTAACTGTTGCTATTTGAATCATTGAAAAAAAATTAAATTGTTAACTAAGATAGAGAATTTGTTTATATAATATGGATCGATTAATGATTTTATCTCTATAGATTCTTGCTCAAGAAAAAAAAAATCATCATAATATACTCAATACAAGAGGCACAAATCTTAAACTTTAACTATAAACACAAATTGCAAAACCCCCAATTTCACACTTAAAATATTTTTTATTAAACTAATATGTGTTTTTTATGAATAATATGTGCTTTAATAATAAAGTAATCTCAAATAATATATTAAAAATCCTTAAAATCCACTTTCAAGTTCCAATTCGAACCCGAAATTTTCTATATATGAGCAACAAGGAAATGTTGTTGCTTGTTAAATAAGTAAACTTTACAAGATAATTTTTTATTTTATCGAATAATATTTTTTGAAAAACAAATATATTATAATTATCTTCTAGAAAGATCTCATTAAAGTGTATTAAATTTATTATTTTTGAATAAAAATTTAATCAAATAAATAAACTTCGTGATAGACTAACCCAAACTTTCCAATTTCCAAATCAATAAGAATTTTATAAAATAAACTTTATATTTATCTTAAAAGCACGTTATTCAAGATAAAATAATTCTAAAAAAACTCGTATTTTGATAACCAATAAAATAGTGTTAAAAAATTATAATCTAATTAGTGCTTTTATTCAACGGACATTTACTCAATCACCAGTATAAAAAAACAAAATCAATTACACAACTTTTTTAATCCGACAACTACCAATAAAAATTTGTGTTTTGAAGACGATAACAAAGTTGACATCTACTCCGAAACAAGTATCTGTATTATTCCACTTAATATCTCTTTCGAGACAAGTATTGATGTTATTTCACTTAACAAAATTCGATTACATGCATATTTGGGGAGGGGGAAAACCCATTCAATTGAATCATTTATATTCAGCCACGTTTCAACAAAGTCAAAACTTGTGCATGTAAAAAATGTATGTTGAGAGACTCACCTACCAAAATCAGATGCGCGACACGAATCGATCTAAATTAATCAAGATAAAACTCTAAGGAACTAAAAGGGCAATAAAAAAAAGCTTTGAAGGCATCATTTCCATGATTAGCTGAAGTGAACCCAACATACTACAAGGGGAAAATGATCAATTCTTTGCATATTGGGCATGACCATATTTTTATTCTCATCAAATCTTTACAATTGAAACAAGATTTAGCAGCATGAATGACCAGATCTTACACAATGATACCTGGAAAAGGCTTGTTCTAAACGGAAAATTTATACACAATCACTCCAGTACATCAGCTAAATAGAAAAACGCAGAATACCAAGCTGCATAAGTTACAGATCAAGAAGATCGGAATTAGCCTTGAATTTCATGTTTAATTCACCATATGATCATTATTAACAGGCCTTTAGTTCTTACTAATCAAGTAGCATGGCTACCTTGTCCCTGAGTGTGCACCTCTTCTTTGTCAATGGGAGTGTTTCTTCTTTAACGTCATTCTGACTTCCCTTTTCCAATTCATTGGAAAATGTCCTCGGAACGAATTCACTCATCTTCTCCTCCACAGTTTTCTTTAATAAAGGACCTAAAAACAGATCCAGCATGTCCTGAGTAGGATCTCCTGTTCTGTTGGTATTGATAAAATATTTGTCATCTTTTGGACCTCGGGTTGAATCAGAAGTTGTTTCATCAGCCGGTGATTTCTGGTTACCATCAATGGCAATGAGAGAACTTTCCGAATCGGCTTTGGGAGAGGCTGCAGTTGATAATTGCCTTGCAAAATCACATTCCCTAGTTGATAACTCTTGCAGCCCTGCGTTCTTATCAGCTTTGACATACTGTACATAAACAATATGCAACTGAGATCTTCATTACAGATTATTAAAGATTAAAGACAAGAAGAAATCCTGAACGTTTTCAGCAAGCTGATTACCTCTTCAGCAATGCTCACCAAATCTTCCGGAGTCAGTTCCTCGCCATCGTCAAATGGAGATAGGGTTTTACTGTCCCTGCCACTTCCCGACCTACCATTTGTTGCTTTCCTTTTTCGCCGATGAGAAGGCTCCCGAACTTGTTTTTCCTGAAGACAAGTACTCAATTTTGTAGCAGAAGCAGCTCCATTATCAGATGGTGCATCTTGTTGACTAACTTCCCCAAAGGGAGAAACTTGAAACCAACAAAATGACTTCCACTAAAAACAAAAAAAAATGGAACAAAATTAAGGAACAGTTTTCTGACAGAACTGATTCTTTTAACAACTGAAAACATAAAAAAGTAAGGCAGTGAAAATTAATAGAATTAGACGCCAATTAAAAATGACAATAGTTAACCCCAAAATTCAAATTAGTACGACGATTCAATTCCTTCATTTTCTTCTTTTAAAAGTTCTTCCTACACTTGAGGGAGGGAAACTGAATAAATTCAAAGCGTTGATCAAGAATCAAACCATAACAATAATATAAGAAGGATTATATATAACGAAACTGAACGAAATCAGGATTTTTTTCTTTTTAAAAAAAGAAACTGGTTAAGGGGTTTTAACGTACCTTAGGCTCTCCATCGACAACATCCAAAAGCAAAATCAAACGGCTCCGGTCAGTCGTTTAGAATTCGGCGCAAATGGGGTATCCTTTTCTTACATTAATCAGGAAACGAGCGTTTCCGGTTTCTTCTTTTTCTTTCTTGTCAGGGAAGATTCATTTGAACAAGCCATTTATTAATTAGGTAAATTACATTATTTATCACTTAATTTTATTTTTTTCCTATTGAACTTATTGAACTTTTAATTTTTTTTTTCTAATTTACTCATTGAATTTTGCAAATTGAATTATTTTAGTCACACCCTAAATTAGGGCCAAGAATTTATTAATTTTAAGTATCGATTTAAGGTAGTAACAAGGAAAAATTGGGAATCAAAATGAAAGATTCCAAAATTTATAGGCTTTTTAAGAAGTTATAGGAAAATCAAGGGGCGTGAACCTGAATTTACCCATTTTGTTACCCAATGAAAAATTAAACCCCATTAACAACTCGAATAAAAAAACTAAAATTAAAATCACTAAACTCCCAATTCCCTTCCCCACCGACCCCCCTTTACCGGCCAAATCCGGCGTCCGATCACTTCAGCTCGAGACACCACTACTAAAAGACTCACCATTGAATGGTGAACAAAACCTGCCCCTTATCCCATCGTAAATCGGTGCTGTTTGTCGTAAAAAACTGCCAGAAAACCCGTTGAAAATCTCCATCGCCGTCGAGAATTTTCAACCGATCTGGTGGTTGTTCAACCTCACTGCCTCCAGCACCGTGTTCCCTGATGGGTTCCGCTCAAAACCCGACTGGTGGGTCACGTCAACGTCGTCGATTTCCCTCCGTCGCCGGCGTGGGTAAGTGTTTTGGCCATTTTTTTTTATTTCCGATGGATTTTGGGATGATGTTGGTTAATGTATTGATTGAATTTGGGTATTTGGAGTTGTAAGAGAAATCGATCGGTGTTCCCGCTCTGTTTGGCCACCGCAGCAAGGCGCCGCCTCCCGCACTTTTCTGATGGGTGTATTTATTTTTTTCAAGTAAAACTGCCGAAATAACCTGGCGGGAAAAAGTGAATAGTCTCAGTTGTATGAGAAATTATTTTCTTAATTAGAGTTAAATAAGTAATGAATGGGAGAAGACGATTGTATCATCTTATGTCTTCATAAAATACATGGAAAACCGTGATATCTTTCTCATGTTCCCATAATCGATGCATATTCATATCTTCTTAGTTTATGTAAAAGACATCCATTATTTTGTACGTCTTCGAACAATGTAGAAAACGTCGACCGCTCCATATGCTTTTCTTGGGCAAAACTGCCAAAATAATGCGGTTTGGAATATTTTTTTTCCAGAATAATCCACTTCCCATATTATTTCCCCATCTAGTGTGTTTTCTACAATACAAGGCTAAAGTCTCCAATAAATCTCGGCGACTTCAGGTAAACCAGGAAGACTCCAAGATTTCTCGGCGTCTTCAGGCCAACCAGGAAGACTTAAGGATTTATCAATTTCTCGGCGTCTTCAGGCAATCTTCAGGCAACTCAGAAGACATTGGGAAATCATGGCGTCTTCATCTTTCATTCTGAACCAAAGCAGCAAAATCTGCTGCATGGCTTGGAAAGCAACGCTGCATGCATGCATGCGTTGGGTTCTTTTTTTCTTCTTCTTTTACTCTAATAGTGATCGTTCTAACAGCCCGTGAATGGTCTCCATTCTAAAAGCCGGACATTATCACAAAGCAACAAGGGCGTTTAGGCTTTACTAATAGAATATATAGGGCTATTCTTGCTTGTTTAGTAAAATCAAGCTTTTCATTTTGTTTTGATAGGAGTAGGTGCCTGTTGGGGCAGGGAATTCTTCATTCTTCATTCGAAACTAATGAATTTCGGGTCGGGGGTTTCTGCCTTGTTATCAGAAAGAGTTGGGTAAAGCAAACTCCCTCCTTGGACGAGCACGGGGCTTAGTAAAGTAGAACCGGGTGGCGATGCATGAAGCTCCGATCGAAAACAAATCAGTGGGGCAATGCCGGTACGACTGAATATGCGTTAGAAAGGTCAATCCCTCCCCTACGCACCAAATAAAGCTTTGTTAGCTGAGACTTTAGTTCTGGCTGGAATGTATCTTGCTTGCCTTCTCATGTTGGTATATTTACTTCTAAAGTTTTCCCCCACTTTGAAACTTGTGTTGTTTGCTTCATTTACTATGTTCTACTTTTTTGGGTTTGTCAAAAAAAAATTACATTTGTTTGTTTTTAAGGTTATGATGCTTATAGTGTGTTCTTCCGCAACACATTTACTGAATTTGTTGGTTGACTTGACCCTCTCTTTGTCTCCATTGAAGGTTTTTGAGATACAAAAGTGTTAGAATTACTTTCTGTTATGAATTTGTACATTGGTTGTTAAGGGCAAGTTTTGTTTACAGCTATTGAAACTGTGTGGACCACCTGTTGGGGTCTTAAGTTTTCCTCTTATTTTTAGAATATGCATTTGTGGAAGACTTCCACTTGTTTGCACTTTTTCTTTCTCTTTTAATTGATTTCATTACGTTTTATTGCTTCTCAATGACTGAAGCTTTTACTTACATGAAATGGTGGTTTTTTTCCATATAAGTTTAGTTTAAGCTTTGTACGATATTTAACATGTTCTTGCTACTAGAAAATAATATGCCTTCTATTGTATTGTTGTTTGCAATTGAACAATTCCATATTCTTTAATGTCCAGTGATGGACATTGTTGCTTGTGGGCCCTGCAAATTTTGATTTTTAGTTAGATTCAACATAATATAATGTAATACTTCTATACCTCTTCTAATTCTAATGGTTTTCTTTATTTTTATTTTCTTTTAATCATTGCTTTATTATATTTTTCCTACTGTTTCTTTTTATTTACACCCGAAAATGGAGCACTTCAGTCCATACAAATGTTATAATCCTACTATTTGTTTTTGCAGTCCATGATTTCCAAAGTTGATACTTGAGTGAAGGAGCTGAGACAGTCAATTGATCGTCTTAAGGCTAAAAGTAAGAAGTTGGAGGTCGTACGATGATGGAGAAATTATGTCGTGTATACTGCAATGTGTCTGCGAGGGTTGTCAATTATTGGTGTGCTGTTACACCATTGATCCATTTCACTTTTAATGAGTTCAAATTTTCCGATAAAGTGTTGAGGCAATTCGACTTCCACCAACCTATTCTGCGAATTCCAGAGAATCGTGACTCTCTCCACAGATTAGATGGGCGGGGTAGGCACGATGAGGATTGGGCTGTGAGGCATGCCAACGATATCAATTGTTGGAACAACAACTTCATACTTGCCAACGCTCACTCTCATACAAGCGGATGACTTTGACTTCCAGAACTCGGATTAGCTGAATTATTATTGGGAACATAGAAAGCTGTTATTGACAACGAACAGAGAAATACAATAATTTATACAGTATAAGAAAAAAATTGGTAAAGTCGAGAAACCAAGAAGGAGTGAGAGTGGGAGTTCATCTCACTATGAAGCAGAACAAGCGGCAATAGATACTATCCCACCAGAATCTTTTGGTGGTACAGGATCATTTCATCAAGTGTTTGGTGATTTTGGTGTTACGTCCTACACTCAGCTTATTCCTCATCAATCACCCATGTTATCTCACATGTTTGGAGCAACATATGATTTTGATCAGATGACATCTATGATGTCAAATATGAGTATTTGTCCTCAAGTGGGATAACAGAGTGGTGGTGGGCATGTATTTACAAAAGTGTTGTACAAAAGTACATTTAATTTTTTTTTATAATTACTTTCAAAAATGAGTTTGAAAAGATAAAATGTCTATTATAGACATTACGTTTAAAATGACATCCTGAAGTTCATAAAGCAAAAAAAGAGATAACTTTGACACTTATTTTTCAGTTAAGCCTAAAACACAATACTATCAGGCAACTCAATATATGATCCAAATAAGTTGAATGCTTTCATTTCTTTGCAAAAAAAGTACTACATGATCAATGACCTATATGGTAACACCAACTAATGATAATAAAGCTCATATTATAGACAAAAAAGTCTTCTACGCAACAATAACATAGCATGCTAACTACTATGCGTATGATGCAGCACCATGCGAAACGTTTAAAACTTAACCTGCTGTGTGTTAATGTCCGGCTTTTAGAATGGAGACCATTCACGTGGCCTGTCAGAACGATCACTTTTGGGGTAAAAGAAGATAAAAAAGAACCCAACGCATGCATGCAGCGTTGCTTTCCATGGCATGCAGCAAATTTTGTTGCTTTGGTTCAGAATGAAATAAAGATGAAGACGCCATGATTTCCCAAGGTCTTCTGAGTTGCCTGAAGATTGCCTGAAGACGCCGAGAAATCGATAAATCATGAAGTCTTCCTGGTTGGCCTGAAGACGTTGAGAAATCTTGGAGTCTTCCTGGTTTTGCCTGAAGACGCCGAGATTTCGTGGAGACTTTAGCCTTATACTGTAGAAAACACACTAGATGGGGAAATAATATGGGAAGTGGATTATTCTGGGGAAAAAAATATTCCAAACCGCATTATTTGGGCAGTTTTGCCGCTTTTCCTGTGTTATTATTTAAAGTACCTTATTTAAGAGATTATAAAAATAATCTCAAGGGTGCAATATATGAAGAATGTTTTCCATTACCTTATTTGATCGATTTTGTCAAATTTTTTCGATAATTATAGTTTTTTATGGAACTATGAAAAAATTAATTTTTTTTTTATAAAATTTAAAGATATTTTAAAAATTATAAGCAAAAACTAAAAATGGTATCATGTTTTTCCCCTATAATTGTCAAAAAGTAGTGAAAGGAAATAAATATTTTGTTGGATCTAGTTTAGTGGGTTTTAGTGTCAAACTCAGAGAGCCCAGATAGATACCCCTGGCCCTAGGTCGCCCACGAACCCAGCTAGTGCGTAGTTGGCATAGATTTCCAGTTCGTGGCGCGCCACTAAAATTAGCCTGTCTTTAATCGAAGGAACTAATAAATCAAACACCTTCATTAATCATTTGGTTTCCATTATTATCATTTTGGATCCGAGACAGAGTCCTTGCGATCTCACGGGATTGAATTTCGAAAAATAAAGAAGAAACCGAAAGCAAATTAGCAATGGCGACCTTTTTGAAGCTTGAAGATTCGCCTATGTTTCAAAAGCAGGTAATTCCAAAATTCTCTACATCTTCACTCTTCTACATTTGTGTTTCCCGATCATTATTTTTTTTCCGGTTGATTCCTTATCCAATGCTGCCTGAAAAGCATTCTTCTTCCTTTTTGAATCGAAATGTGATACTCGGCTTACCGTTTTATTTGGATATATATATATATATATATATATATATATATATATATATATATATATATATATTCCATTTTGTTTTACTGAATAGTGAAGGATCAAAATTCGTTTGAATCTTATTTCATGAAAATATGCATTGCATGAACTTATGACTTATTTTTATATTTCCATGTTCTTTGGGATTATGTTTATATTTGTTTAATTGATTAAAAAAATATGATTCTAATACGTTGGTTAATTGAACAGATATTTTCTTTAGAGCTCACGGCTGACGATTTGAAAAACCGATGTCAAATACTATACAAAGGAAGCAAAAAGTTTCTGTATGTATCTTTCTATTTCTAAATTTACGTATTCTTTTTTTTTACTCATAATGTAAATGCTTAGATTCAGTTATTGTTAATAATGATTTATTGAGGTAAAGTTTTTTGACTATAAGTTTTTTTTAAAATATGAAATTTTATTCTTTGTTTTTTCATTGTTAAATATATTATTGCTTCCCTCAGAACTAACCGACAACATGTTCTCAGTATGTTGTACTCTCCATGCTCATCAGCTTTGTAGCAAGATCTTGGATTCAAAATTTGATCTCTAATGCAAATGTATCTTTTTGCCTTGGACCCTGAACATCTGACCTTGAATTTGCTCTCTCCCCTACTATGACATAATTCCAGCTCCAATAATGCATAGGGTATGATTAAGTTAATTGCCCGAGACCCAATAAAAGAAGGCAGAGAGCAAGTACTCTCGTTAGTAACTCAAGTTGTAAAATACAAAAATGAATTATTGAAGATCTGACTCTCTTTATCTCTCTTCCCCTCTTTCATTCCATGTATGCATGCTTTTTTATTTTGCTCTCTCTCTGCTGCTTTTGCAGGGCAGCCCTTGTAGAAGCACATAATGGAGAAAATAGCTTTGCTGACTCTTTAGAAGCATTTGGTAGTGGGAAGGATGATCCTGTTAGTTTATCCGTAGGAGGTTGCCAAGGTGTCATCTTAAACTTTTTTTAACTACAAAACCCATTTTACTAGTTAATGTTAAGAATTTTGATTAGGTTTAGTGATTTGGTTCTAGTGTTGCAACTTGCAAGTTTTGCGAATTTTTGTAGATGAAACAAATAACATATGTGCATTTAACATATGTCTTGCAAATTCCTGTTTTCAATCAATGGTAGAAAGCTTTAACTATTCGAGAAATTTGCTTTTTGCAGAACAAATGCTATCAAGTGGCAATTGAGTTTTCCCTGTATGGTTTTAAAGGGTCTTATATTAATCTTATTTAGTCTTGTGTATTTAAGACATAAGGAAATAGTGTTTGGAGATTTCATTGGGTGGAATATGAAGTTATTCAGGTCACTCGGTGAATACTTAGAAGTAATTATGTTTAGTCAGAGTAGTAGATGTAGACAGGAAAAACATATTTGATGTTTTAATTTTTTTTTACTTTAAAAGGAGAGGCCTTGGGTCTGAAGTCTGAACAAGACCAGACAATATATGGATACATGTAGCTCTCCACTCATCTCAGAATATTCTAGCTCACTAAAGATGTCTCCCACTCCTGACTTAAAGTTAGGCGAATAAATTGAGGTTTTAGACTTAGAAAATTATTCTAGTAATTTGTCATGGAGTTGTGCGACTTGTTTAAAATATGTGACAGAAAGACATGCTGTGATGCAGCTGAACTATAGGGTGAGTATAATAATAATGAGAAGCTTCTATAAAGTTAGATTTTGCATTTCTGATTCTTATATACAGATTGCATATTGTCTGGAGGATGGAAGAGAAACCTATTATACCGTTATTAACTACCAATGAAGCTTGTGTTGTTGTTGTTGGTCTTTTTTTTTTTCTTTTTTGCATGTAAGAAGCTACAGTCTCGTTAATAAAGCTAGAATAATTGGGTTAACTCCTGGTGGTACTTGTAAAATTTTTTGTAGGGCCAATCATGTCCAAGTTCATCAAAGCTTTTCGTGAGCTGGCCAGCTATAAAGAGTTGCTACGTTCACAAGTGAGTGTCAGTTTACCATCTAAAGAAAGCAAATTTTTCTTATACAATTGAATAAGACGGGGATAAGTAGCATTTTTCTTATTGCCTATTGTAAATGTACCAGTTTTGACACTTTACTAAATGGTATTTTCTATTCCCCCATACAAAATTCCTTTTTATTAAGGATCCAACCTAAAAAAAAAATTGGTAGTAGGTCGAGGGGCCAACTTTAATTTAAGATCACAGAAAACCTAATACCTATCAGTGGACAACCTCACTAAGGTTTTTGAACCTCAAATGAGATAATATGGAAAACCTGAGCTTCGATACCATGTTAAGCATCCAACCTAAATCTAGTTGGTAATAGGTGGAGGGCCCAACTTTAATATAAGACCATTGGTGTTTGTTGCTTTATTCATATTTACATCTCTATGAATGGATATGCATGACTCTTTTCTAAGTTGCGTGAAGTAGTTAACCATGCATGAAGAATTTATCAATCGGAAAATATTTGTATCGGATCATAATCACCTTACCTTTACTCATAAAATGAGTTTGAAAGACATGATCAGAAGACGAGCTTCTGGATGGTAGATATCATGTACTATTAAAACTGTGTCTTTGTAATGGCATAGAATATTTGTCAAATCAAGGTATCGACCCCTTTCACCAGCTTTTAATAAGGAAATAAGCAGCCATATAATGAACCCAGGGACCTTTGCAATTTGTCTTTTGAAGTTGACACAGGTGCACCTTTTGCAAACAGTCTTATGACATTTGATTTTCTGCTGAAAATAGATTTACGTGACCAGGTCGTAGCTTTACCCAAGACATCATTTTTTTTGATAAAAATAAAAGGCCTCATTAAAAACCCCCTTCATAACTTTCAACCTACGGAAGTAGCTTAAAGGACATTGGAAGTAGCTTTACCCAAGACAGCATTTAACATTTTAATTTCTGCATAGGTAATTATAAATTCTTCATTTTCTATCATATGCTTTTATTTCAACCTGGTTAGTTACTTTTTAATGTAATAGCATAAGTAAACGTTAACATATTTGTTGCACGTGAACGCTAACAATCTCGAGGCTACCTGCTGCATAAGTTCAGATAAGCAAAATTTCTTAAAAAAACTTCATATATTTGAGAGTCAACTTTAACATTTTCCTCTTGGCCATCTACACGACCTAGAGAATTGGAACATATATTTTGCATATTTTATTTTGGACGTTCAATTTTTTTTTTTTGAGATTTGAATATCAATTACAGGTGGACCATGTGTTAATTGATCGGCTAATGCACTTTATGACTGTTGATCTGCAAGATGCAAAGGTAAATACAATTTAGGAGCTAGCTCTAAATTTTGTTTTCGAAAGTGGCTGTTTTGTTCATCAGTTTATTGAAATTGTTACTAACTAGCCCACTTCCAGCTCTTTTTTTTTTAACTGAAACTGAGTTACTGAGAGATGAACACAAATACAATCACTCCTTGTAGAGTTTTTTCTATGAAACTTTGTTGTGTGCTACTGAGCAGGGGAAAAAGAAAAAAAAAACTTGGTTGAGTGCTTGCAATAGGGGGTTGTTAATGATTGCCACACTTCTACTAAAACCGAGTAGTGCATCTTGGAATCTGAAATTCAGAATGTTTAGAAAATATAGGACCCTCAAATGAGTAGAAAATCAAACGTGGAACCATATCATGTTCCTTTTTGAATGGGACATATTGCAGTTTTTCTTATCTGAGTCATGGACATTATGAAGTCTTCTGGAGGGATTGTATATCACCCTATTAAGAACTCATTGTGGATGAACATTTTGAATCTACATGTTGATAACTGTGGAAGCCAAATAATTGCAAGATAGGATGAGATGTCTCCTTAGAATATAATAAATTCTTATGATGGGAGCTTGGGTGGTTAATAAATCAGATGAGAAAATATAACATTACAATTCATTGTTGAAGAGCTCAACATTTTTAATAGTTTTTTTTTTTCTTTCTAATTAGGTTAGAGTTAAAAGCTTAGCTCTATTCATCCCTTCTCAATTTGTCCCGCTGCTTTTGTCCTCTGAATTCTGCAGGAGTCTCGTCGACGGTTTGACAAAGCTATAAGTGCATATGACCAGGTATTAAATAATATGTAAACTTACTTTCTGGCATGAAGATAATTATTGGGTTTGGGTCTTAATGACATTTTGAATCTCCTTCATTGTTTCTCTCCCTCTCTCTTGCCTGTGAGGTCGTCAGCAGTAAACTTTTGAACTATCCAATTATTAGGTAAAAACATATTATTGCTGTATATGATACCATTCAGAAATCTTCTGAATCAAGAGCTATTCAATAGAAATGAGTAGCAGAGAATTCAAATCAGAAAGTTGATGACATGTCCTGAAACCTGAATATTTCTTGCTGAAAACATTGCTGAAGATGTCACAGTTCAAATGTTGTTCTCCAATTGATTTTAATACAAGTGCTGATATTTCCTAGCATTTTATGAAAAGTCACCTATAAAGCATAATAAAACAGCATCGTATTCCTTGATTCCCGTAAAATATAATGCCGTAATGTTCTTTACTAGCAGGCACGTGAAAAGTATGTGTCTTTGAAGAAGAATACACCAGAAGATGTTGTTGCTGAGCTAGAAGAGGTATTCTCTTTCCTTATGTAATTATTGACTTCTCTCATGTTTATAAGAAGGCTGAGAGATGACATTCTTATACTATGCTCTGTATGTTTTGTTAGTTTTCTCATTGTTCTGCTGTATGGAATCTGGTTCACTTGTTAGAAAATATTTACCTCTTTCAGAACCATCAAAAAGAAACAAAACCTGTTTCTCTGGACCATGGAACCATGGATCTGATATTAATTTAGCCAGTAGTCATTATACTCCTCTTTGTTTCTGAACTGTACATCCAGATCTGTTCCTTTTTCTTGAAAACTTATGAGGCTCATTCATTCTCTTCACTTACCTTTGTCTGAAGAGAGTATGTTTTGAGTCACTTGTATGGAATGTTTACATCTGCTTAGATATCTGTTATGCCTGTGCGTTTGGGATTTGATAATTCAGCTCGTTGAAGGGAGACTGAAACCTTAGGGCTTGTTAGAGAGAGACTTAGATCTCTTATTTTACTGATAAAAGTTATTCCTATCTTTCATTATTCCATATGTCCCTTTAAAAAGAGATTACAATAATTAAAGAAAGTATATCGCTTAATAAAGTCCTACAAAAACACAACTATTCTAAGAGTCCTAAAACAATTAACTTCTCCTAAGAATAATGAAACATTTCTTTCGTTTCTGTTACTGATAAAAATTATGCTTCTTTCATTATTCCATTTGTCCCTTCAAAAAGATATTACAATAATTAAAGGAAGTATATCGCTAAAAAAAAGTCCTAAAAACACACAACTTCTATTCTAAGAGTTCTAAACAATTAACTTCTACTAAGAATGATAAAACAATTTCTTTTATTAAGTGTCCTATCTAATTTCTCCGAAGAAGAATAAGGATGTGTTTGGATACCACAGTTAAATTGCATAAAAATGTAATTACTACCCTTTCCTAATATTGGAATTGAAGAGTGTAATTGGGGGGCCTCCATTTACAATCAATTCAGTGGGACTCATTAATTACAATGGTGGTCCAAACACGTCACAAACTCACAACTGTAGTTGTGTAATTACCTCATTTGCTTGAAGAATTGAGAATCTAACTAACTAGTCAGGCTTATATTAAAGATGGAATTGTCTTTTTTTTTTGGGCTAATGAAGGCATCATTTGTCCAGATTATACCATATCGTTGTTCACATCTCTTATATTTTATCGACACTTTCCAGTTTCTAACTTGTCTGTAGGGTGCAGTTGTCTTATTTATTTTTCTTTTAAAAAAAAACTTACCTGGCTGCAAATCCCTGGGTGAGTTTGGACTTTTTGTGACAGGATCTACAAAATTCAAAATCTACTTTTGAGAGAAGCCGCTTCAATTTAGTATGTTTGCTGTAGCTGCAAATCCCTGTTTATTTCTGTTAAGATTATGTTTCTGTATTATTTCATGCTTCATTTGGTGACTTTTCTTTGTGGTTTAAGGAACACAGGTAAATGCGCTAATGAATATTGAAGCAAAAAAGAAGTATGAGTTTATGGAATCTATAAGTGCAATTATGGATAGCCATCTTAAATATTTTAAGCTGGTTTGTATTTCCTTTTAAGATATATTTCTTAATTTTTTTCATTAGATGATATAGTTGACAAGTCTTGTGTAAACTGAATATGATTTTCGTTACAGGGGTATGAATTATTGAAGCAGTTGGAACCATTTATTCACCAGGTAATATTTTACACACTTTTTCCCCTTTTGTGTATAGAAAAAAAGTGAATCAGAGGAAGTTAGAAAGGTGTTGACTACTACTGTCCGATTAACTGGATTAAATATTTAATGAAGGTTGATCTACCCCATGATTTTAAAAACAAGTTATTGACGTTTAATCAGTGGAATTAATAATTTCTAGAAGTTTCATCCTCAGAGAAGTTGGCATTGCAAATTACTGATCCTATGACCTCAGTGTTGGCAATTAAAAAAGTATTTTGATCAGCCAAAATAATCCATGCAGTTATAGGAATATTATGTATTCTTTTAGATTCTTTAGTATAAATATAATTTGCACACCTCTTTCTATTATCGTTTTTTTTATCTAGCATATTATTAGGTGCAAGTATTTTCAATTACAAAGTATAAATAGATAGACAGGCACATACAAGAGATATTCAGTGTGTTTTTTGGAGTTACCATGTCAAAGAGTTTCTTATTGTCATGCCAATCGATATGAATATATCATATCATAAGAACCATCTGGTTGCATAGTTCATCCTTTGAGATTTTTTAATTAAGAAATCAATCTCCTGATTGCAACATGATATATGCATCTATATTCTGGCTTATATAAATGCTCAGGTTAAAGGTGTATCTCTGTTAGACCTTGACATTGACTGCAGATTGTGTGCACACTTATCATTTAAAACAGGTGGCTTTGGGATCCCATGTCCTTACCTTGTCCGTCCGTTTTATTAAGTTTAACTTAATCTGATTTGGTTGGATTGTTAATGTGGTTTCACTTGATGGCAGAATTGATTTCTTTTATAATAGGTATATGCATATGCTCAACAAGCAAAAGAATTAGCAAATGCTGAGCAGTGTAGTCTTGAAAAACGTATTCAAGAATTCAGAACCCAAGCTGAGATTGACACTCTAAGAGCTTCAAGTAACATAGACCCTTCAACAAGTTCTGGTGCCATTGGTGTTAAGGGCATGAATTCAGACAAAAACATAGAAGCCATCATGCAGTCCTCAATGAAAGGGGAGGTGAGTGAGTGATCTTCATTTCATCTACACAAATACACACACACACATATATATACAGCAAATTGACTACTAAAAGTGAATTACGAAAATATTCTTTAAATTTTTAAAATTGACTAAGTTATTATATGTAGATATGTAATTTTATTGATTTAATAAATATTTAAAAAAAAAGAGTTCATGTAATGTTAAACTATGTTAAAATTAATAGTATTTAAATATGTACTTCTTATTAGTTTATTTAAATTTAAAATTAATTAATTTTTCTCAATATAAGTTTACAATTTTTGTTATTTTGTTTAAAGTTATATAAATATAAAAAATAAAGTACATAATTGTAATTAAAATATATTAGGTTAACTTATAATTAAGACATTAAATTTTAAACTTTTAGATTGATTTTTTTTTTAAAAAAAAATCAAATTTGTTACAATTTTTTTGGACATTTAATACTTATGTAAAATGATAATAAATGAATACATAATAAAATAATTATTTATAATTTAAATTTTTTGTATAAACAGTCAATAGAACATAATCATCTTTAGTATATAATTATCATTATATATTTAAGTTAATAATTTAGTAGGATAATTTATAATTAAGTCTACATAACTTGTTTTAAAATTCCTTTATTATAAAAATTATTAATTAAAATGATATACAAGAAAATATTAAATAATTGACAACATAATTTTCAATTTCATAATTATAATGGTAAAAGTAATATAAAATATTAATAAAAATAGAACAACTTTCAGATTTACATATATCAATTTGTTCATAGCAAAATATTACTCCATTATTATACTTTTAAGTTTTGAAATTGTTTCAACTTATATTATTAAGTCCCAATCAACATGTGAAATAAATATAAGCCAAAAGATTTAAATTAATAAAACTTCATTAAATTATTAATATACTAATAAATAATTTAAAAAATATTACATTGTCATATTAATAATATTGTAATAAATAATAGATGACATGATAATTAACAATTCATACCATAGTAGTAACTTGTGACAGATAAGATAATAGTTACAAGTTTCATCATTAAAATGTAAAAATATACATGTTATTAATAAGTATTTATAAATTTACAAATGTAATCATTATTGTAACATCAATTTAGATTTTAAGCTATATCAAGTTAACAAATCAAACCCCAAACATACAGATCATTAAATTGCATGTTTCTAATATTGTAAATCTATTGAGAATAGAAGTACTAGTTCATTTTTCTATAACTAACAAATAATAGAAAAATGGTAGTGATAAGCCATTAATAATATTAGAGGTAAACCTACTGATAAATTAGTATGAGTAGCATATGCTTGAAAAAGTAAATTACATATATAATGATCATTCAATTATGCATAAAGTTTTATTTGACCATCTAACTATTAAAACGATCAATTTCAGCACTAAAGTAAAGAACACTAGAAATTTGATTACTTAGTATTTAGTTACAAATTATTAGATGACATGACTATGTAACAAAACCCATCAGACGTGAAATGACATTACCAAGATAACATGTTGTGACAATGTCGATAGAGAATTATGGTTTTTTTAATTATTTTTATAAAATAAATAAATTACATTTTGGTATCTCAAAATTTTCTTTTGAGAATTTCTGTTGATAATATAAGCCTATTCATATTCTAAAAAATATATGTGCAATTGCATATAGAAAGAAATAAACTAGAGAAAAAATATATATTTATGTTCTAGTGACATAAAGTGTTAATTTTATATTATTTATATTTTAAAATTTTGTACTAATGTAATATAATAAAGTTTATTTCTTTTTATTAGAATTTTAAAATTAATGTACTATAGTATAATTTGATAATATCACATGTACATTTTAAATTCTTTTACCTTTTCAATTATAATTTTGAAAAATAACCTACAATTAAGTTATCAATTATATAATTTAAATTTTTTGTTTTAAATATACTGTCGGTCCTTATACTTGAATAAAATCATGATTTAGTCCCTATTCTTAAAAAGATCAAAACTAGATCCTCTTACTTTTTTTAATTTGAAATACTTAGTTCAATCATTGTCACTATAAGTATTTTTCGTCAAATTTTGTTATCAGTACATGCATGCAATCTTACCAACTTTAGAAGCTAATCATTATGAACTCAGTAAGCATACCTGATAATTTTGACTGTAAATACTAACGTTGTTTACCATTGGACTAAGATTTTTAAATCTAAAAAGTAAGACTTTAATTTTAAACTTTTCAAGTAAATGGATTGAATCTCATACTTTGTCTAAGTGTAGAGCCTGCCAACATATTTTGATCTAAAATTATACATCAAATTAATTATTAAAATTTATTTTAAAATGTTCTAGTATTCATATTTTAAAAATTTATGTGTAAATTTAGATAAAAATAAAATTGAGAAAAATTATATATTTATTTTTCTATTGATATTGCATCTTAACTTTTCAAATTTGTTTATATTTTGAATCTAAAATTTTATACTAAAAATATATGTTTAATTTTATCATATTTCTATTAGAACTTTTAAATTAATATACTATATTATAATTTTGATAATATTTCGTAGCTACTGCCATTGAAACTAGTCTCTCTCACTATATATATATTGTTGTGCTGGTATTTTTAAGCATTGTATTTATTTTTTCTCTGGGAGAGATGATAAAATCATTCATTTTACAGGTCCAGACAATCAAACAAGGATATTTATTGAAACGTTCTTCAAGTTTGAGGGGAGATTGGAAGAGGAGGTTCTTTGTACTTGATAGTCAAGGAACACTATACTATTATAGGAATAAGGGTATCAAACCAACGGTATGTAGTATTACTTTTTCCTGTTCTTGATTGTTCAAGTTTAATTATATAGGTTGAAACATATTGCTTCCTAATTATGATTATGGATGATGGGACATAATTATTACTGGATTTTCGTCTTGGTGCTTGCTAATTTTTGGTTTTGACATATTTGAGGGTGTGCGACTGAGATACTTAAGTGTTTATATGTTTTACTTCCAGAGTTTTCTCCATCACTATACTGGTGCAGTAACTGCAGTTGACCATAATAGCGGTGTATTTTCTAGATTTCGTTCCAAGTATAAGTCACCATCTAATGAAAATCTGGGCTGTCATACTGTTGATCTTTGTACTTCAACAATAAAGATGGATGCTGAAGATACAGATTTACGACTTTGCTTTAGGATCATATCTCCACTTAAAACTTACACATTTCAGGTGATATTTACTTGTCATTGGATTCTTCACTTTTTCTTAAAATGTCAACAATATGGTTAAGTTACTGCTAAGTCTCTATATCACACATTTAGTTGACTACATATAGTATGAAAGGAGGTTAGTTCTGTGTTCTTACTATGACCCATTGGATTTTTGCTTGGGACTTTATGTACTATTAATATCTTATGAAACCTTAATTCTAGCCATTTAAGATTGACTAAAGTTTGAACTCATGATTTTATGATTCATAAAGGTAGATGAAGGTATATTAGGCACTTAACAATATTCTGCTACCTAGCTTTTGCAAGGTGTCAAAGAATTTACAATATATCATTTCAATATATTTAGGATTTAAAAATATTTTGGATAATGCAATCAATATTTCTACCAAATTTCTAGAATGGAATTTTTTGAAACATTAAGCTTGATATTAGTCTGTCCTTATGTTGGTGACATTTATTTTCAGTGGTTATAATTGATGAAGATTCTAGTGCCTCCACCATAGCTTGTTGCCATCTAGGATCTGTCTTTACTATACTAACAATCTTAGGAATGAACAATGAATAAATTTGAGGTAGAAGCGTAATATGAGAATGGCAGTTGATTATAACTCAAAAAAGTATAAATAGGATGTGCATTACGAGAAGAATGAATTCCTTTTATAAGGGCATTAGGTTTGTTTGCTGGAGGCATGATAAGAGTTGGATGAGGTGGTAGTTGGGGAAACGAGTTACTCGGACCAAACTCCTGTTTTGTACTTGTAGTAGGATTAGTAGAATGATGTATAGAGGATCATTTGGTGTAGACCTAAAGAGTTTTTGAAGGTGCATTATTAGTAATAGGAAAGATAAGAACCAAAAGTGTTTCTTCAACATCTTTTTGATACACGGGTTAAGAAGAAAATTAGGGAGATATCTAAAAAAGGTTACATTTTCAAAAATAAAGTATTTATTGGTAATTGGATCGTGGCATTTGACCCTTTTTGATGATGTGAATACCTCAAGAAGATACATCTAATGGATTTTGGAAGAAGATTGTCTTTCCTAGAGTGTGATTGTGAACAAAATAAGTGCAACCAAACACACATGTAGAAAGATGTAGTCGTTGACCCCAAAAAAATAGAATGAGGACTTTGGTTTTGCAGAATAGAAGGTGGCATACGACTCATAGGGTAACTAGCAGTCAAAACATTCCCCAAAACAAACTGATACTTTATTATGAATAAGAACAGTGCGAGCGGCTTCGATGAGATGACGATCGGTCACACCATTTTGTAGTGATGTATAAGAACAAGAAGTTTAATGGATGATTCCTTGAGAACTCATAAATTCTTGTAAAGGAAGGGATACATTGTATTCTCATGCATCATCGATGCACTAGATTTTAACATAAATACCATATTGATACGACTTGAACCTTGAATGTCTGAACGAACAAAACTAAATAAAGAAGTTCTAGAATTTATTCGTTTTGAGAAAGAAGCATGATTATGTTTCTCAAGTTGACAAGACTCACATTCAATGGAAAGTTGAAAGATCGTGAATCGTCTTCTAAAGTTTAGAGAGATTGGAATGACTGAGATGACTATGGAAAAGATACACAGAAATAGAATAAGCAAGGGCTATTGGTGTAGTAAGGATAGATAGGTAGTATAAATGTATAATCTATGACTATTGGTTTAGTAAGGATAGATAGGTAGTATAAATGTATAATCTATGACTATTGGTGTAGTAAGGATAGATAAGTAGCACAATCTATGACTATTGGTGTAGTAAGGATGTATAGGTAGTACTATAATCTATGTGACTCATTTCCATCATCAATCATCTTCGTTTATACAGTTTTCTAATGGAAGTAAGGTTATATGAACATTTTGGGCATATGAAACTAAAATTAAAGACAGAGAAGAGAGATGACAATTTTTTCTTATTTCTTTAACCGTTATTTGAGATCCATTAACTAAGATAACTTTAGAGGAAGTAAGGATAGAAAAAAGATTTTATTATTAGAAATATGATTGAAAGCACCTGAATCAAGGATTCAAGGCATGTTTGGAGAAGGTTGTTAGATAAGTATGATGATCACTTCTCATGTTTTCAAATATTCTCTGAAGTTCTTCAATATGTTATTTGCTGAAGATCGTGCTGCTACTACCATCATTTGGAACGTCAGTGAAGTTTGTGTGGTTGTCCCTCGCCTGCCTTGCTCTATTAGGTTTGTGGCAGGCGATAGGGGGAGGGTGACGTCTCAACTAGACTGGTTTGGAAAGGATTTTGTTCAGATCCTGAACTGACTTTCGATGATAAGGTAGTAGGATTCATCGTGGAGTAGATTTAGGTGTGAAACCTAGCCTGATACTATGTAGAAAATAGATAAAACGGTTTGGAACAGAGAAGAATATATTCTTTGTAATTTTTCTCATTGAAAATGACTACATAGATTAGGCCTTATATAGGCAGATTTACAATAGGTATACAACTCTAACTTAGAGTCTTATTAAAGGTTAACTTAATTGAACTAATATTCTATCTAATCTAATCTCTTAATAAGATAAGATGCAGAGTATAAAGTAAATAATAAAACTCTAATATTTAAATTACAATCAAACTCTAATTTATTTGGCTACAATCTACAAAAATATTTACGGCCAATAAATCATGATTTTAAGTATAATATTAAGCTCAAGCAAATCCTAAGATTATTTACATTACAACAATATTATTTCTTGAGTTACACATCTATTTTATAAACTAAAAGTACATAGATAAAGGGATAAAAAAAGAAGGAACTAAACTCTACCAAAAAATAATTGATCTAACCTCTTAACTTTAAGAGAAAGATATTTGCATGATATACACAAGAAAAGGAAAGATAATAATACATGGAATTTCCACATTCCCCTCAAGCTAGTGAATGGGTATCATCCATTTCCAACTTTGTGATAATTCCATGGAAATTGTTATTGTCAAGTCCTTTTGCAGAGACATCTGCTAGTTGATCCTTCAAAAGAATATATGGTGTACAAATCAGCTCACTCTCTAGCTTTTCTTTGACAAAATAGTCTCCTTAATATGCTTAATTAGCTCATGTTGCACTAGGTTACGTGTAATACTAATGGTTGATTTATTGTCACATTATAACTTCATTGGTCCATTCTATTCTTCAATCATAACAACTCACGAATATCTTGTGTCATTGCTCTAAAGTAAGCTTCTACACTTGATCAAGCCACAGCGTTATGTTTCTTATTCTATCATGTCACTAAGTTACCTCCAAGAAACATATAGTTACTTGAAGTAGACCTTCAATATATAAGAGACCTAACATAATCTGCACCTGTATAGACTTCAAGGATAAGTTTAGAATTTATCTTATGAATCTTCCTTTTCCACGATTAGTTTTCAGGTACCGTAGCACACAATAGACAACTTGAAGAGGAATTCTCTTGGAATTATGCATGTATCGACTTATAACACTTACAAGTTGTGCTATGTTTGGTTGAGTGTGAGTAAGATAGATGAGTTTTCCAACATGTTTTGATACATTTCATTGTCTACGATTTGGTCTTCAATAGCCTCTCCAAGTTTATGATTAAGCTCTACTGGTGTTGACTGGCTCGCTTCTAGGAATTCTTGTTTCCATGAGAAGATTAATGACATACTTGTGCGGTAAAATAAAGATCCTTTGTTTAGAATAAGCACCCTTAATCTTGATCTCGAATTGTCTGGTTAGACATATTTGAAGGATTTGCTTCTCTCTTTCATCATTCTTGGCTACAATAATGTCATCTACATAGACTGTCAAAGTCATTACTCCCCTTGAAGTCTAATGTTTGATGAACAAGGTGTGGTCTCCTTGGCTTTGTTTATATCCTGTAGCTAGCATAACCTTTGTAAATCTTCCAAACCAAACACGAGATGATTGTTTCAAGCCATATAAGTCTTTCTTTAATTTTCATACCTTAATCCCTGTGACTTCTCCAAATATAAGTTAAATGTTCATATATATTTCTTCCTCTATGTCTCCATGAAGAAAAATGTTCTTCACATCATACTATCGTAACTCCTAATTAGAACTGGCTACTAGAGACAACAAGATTCTCACCATGTCATTTTTGCAACCATTGCAAAAGTTTTTTGATAATTCATATGTTTGTGTGTATCCCTTAGCAAAAAATCTTGCCGTGTAACATTTCAATGAGCCATCAACTTTAAATTTCAGAGAAAACACCCTTTTACACCCAACTCCTTTCTTTCCATTTACTACTTCTCATGTCCCATTCTTTTCTAAGGGGTCCGTTTCAAGTCTCATGGCTTCCTCCATTCTTCTCCGCCAGTTTCTTTTTTCCTTTTGAAGATAATTAATATTCATTATATATTTATAAATGCATGTAAAGCTGTCTGTGAGTGTGTTTTTTTGAAAATATTGAAATCTATTGAAATAAATTAGTTAATATGATAAGGCAGCGGCATTTAAAGTTTTTTGGAGTAGCTATTTCTTGATGCCTATATTTGTCACTAAATTATTGGGTACTTTAATGTATAATTAAATCCGAATAATTACCTAGAAAAAGTAGCAATGAAACTTCCCAAAACACAACATTCTATTTCCAACAATGACATGCCCTTTAAAATCAAAGTTGAAACCAATAGTTTTATTCATTCTTGCCTATAGTTTTGCACTCGCTACTTTGCATTATCTAGCCCCTAGAAAGAGAACGAAGCATGTGTCAAATTCTCTTGTACAAACGTAAGTGTGAAACAATTATTACAGTTATATTTGTATTAGATAATTTCTTTTGAACATCTTTAATACGGTACTATTTGTTAACCCTGGATAAAACTGATGCACACCTTGCAGAGAATGTTGCTCGAACAAAGGGCAATATTTTCAAACTGTCTAAAATCTAAATTAAGCTAGACTATAATATTTTCTTCACGATGATTGTGCTGATACTTTTTCATTGGTTTGGGCAGGCTGAAAATTCGGGGGATAGAATGGATTGGGTTAATAAAATAACTGCAGTTATTACATCACTTTTGAACAATCATATCCAGCAGCAGGTTCTTTTTTGCCTCTAAGACGTATTTTTCCTATGTTTGCAATGTTGAAATATCAATTCTCATTAAATTTCTACTAATAGTGATTTGTTTGTCTGTTGTGTCTGCATCCGGAAAAAAAGCATGTGGAGAATAATGATCATGCTCACAGAGCTTCTTCTAATGTTCTGTTACCTAATAACCAAGGTACTTCAGATAATCAGATAGGCAACAGACCAGAGCCTGTTTCTGCAGTCCTCCGAGAAATTCCTGGAAATGATGTTTGCGCAGAGTGCAATGCCCAGGAACCTGACTGGGCATCTCTTAATCTAGGCATATTATTATGCATCGAATGCTCTGGTGTTCACCGTAATCTCGGTGTACACATTTCAAAGGTGCAATTTATTCTTCAGAAAAGAGACAGACCTTATGGGCCTAACCCCCCCCCACCCCGATTATAAGCTTATTGTAATTAGTTAGTAATCTATTTTTGGTCTTCAGCCAGTTTAAGGTCTACATTCAAGACTATTACGTTGCAGCAAGGGTTTCTTACTATTTGTTTAGTTTACATTTAATACTTGCCACCTCAATTTTCATTAAACTGCATGATGGATTGTAAATCATGCATAATTATTAGTAGCTGTACAGTTTTTGCACCCAGATAAGAATTCCTCCATTTCAGATTATATCTATTATATTGTTGAATTGCATTCCTCATTATTCTCTTAAAGTATTTAGTTCCCTTCATTTCCAACACTTGGGTGTTGCACCAGTCTGTTGTACAACACAAACCAGCTTTGACGCCATATGATATATATTCAGAAAATACATTTAGTTCCCTTCATTTCATTATGGGTGCAGCAGCAGGCTATTGGGAGAATCTGTTGTACCGTTTCATACCAACTGTTATACTTACGTATGACTTTGCTGCCATTGACTTACAAGTAGTTTTGCCTGTGAAAATATGTACAAGTTGAAAGAAAGTTTACTTTAGTGAAATAAGAAAATTTAAGAGCCAAAAGAACAATTAAGAGGGAGGAAACTGGTAGATAGAAATTGATATCATGATCTCTCCTTTATTTTAAGCGTCTTCAATAAAATAATACTTCTGTTTGCAGGTGAGATCTTTGACATTAGATGTCAAAGTGTGGGAACCTTCAGTTGTGGAATTGTTTCGTACTCTGGGCAATTCTTATTGTAACTCTATATGGGAAGGTTCGCTCCTTCAGGACGAGAGGTAAGAGATCCACAGGTTGAAAATAATGTGTTTGTGCTTGTTTGCTAGTAGGTGCTCTGTTAATTTGTAATGCCATTTCTGTACGCTAAACTGTAATTTTTGATTTCTCATTAGCATATATGGTACCTATAGAAGACCGGGTAAGGAAGACAATGTGCTTTCGTTAATATTGAGTATGATTGAGGCTTTGTCTTTATCTAATTATTGTTCTCGGAAATGAAATTTGTACTTAGCCTTTCGTATGTTCTATGTGATATTTCGAAATCATCTCTAAATAGTTTAAATTAGGTTAATGTAACGTCTTAATTTGGAGGACATATACAAATCCTCTAAAACTTGGTGGTCTTTCTTTTTGTCCTATTCTTCCCCTTGTTGCACACTTGTGCCATTTCCCCCCCCCCCCAAGAAAACAGTATACTTAGCATGATAATCGATAAGTTCCAAATGCATAAATTTGAAAGCAGTTCTAGAATTGAGCTGATGATCTATAAGTGGTTAAGCTGATAGCTTAATTTTGTATCTAGTAGCTAGCACTACGATAATTTCTCTCTTTCCTGTTCAATGCAATGTATTTGCAGAGTGGATGAATCAAACGCTATTAGCACATCAATAACAAAACCATGTCCCAAAGATTCAATTTGCGAAAAAGATAAATATATTAACGCTAAGGTATTTAGTTGGATTTTTTTCTCTTGATGTTCATGCATCAAATTGCATTATTTCACCATCCATGCATTTCTTCATTCCTACTATTCCTTGCATTGTCCCATGGGGCAGTTGGTTTGTCGTTTCATTAAGCAGGAAACATCCTTCTACATTATTATTGTTGCCCCCTTTGAGAAATTATGACTATATTAGTCTTCTACTACCTTTAGTCATTCTCTAAATTGATCAGCGAATTGTTTAGCTTCTGATGCAAGAAGGGAATAGATCACTCCAGGATATGATGTGCTGTTCTTCATATAGAAAGATCATTTCCTGTTGGTTTCTTTTTCTCTTTATGCCCAAAGTAATATTCAAGGCTGAAAAGCAGGTGTACTTGTACACATGCATATCTGTCCCATTTACATAATTGTCATTTTTCATGATTGCAAAATTTCATGCTGTTTAGATTAGTCTTTTATCTCTCACAATGCTAATTTTAGAAATGCTGTGATTTCCAATACAAAGCCTAACATTATTCCTCTCTTAACCAGTATGTAAAGAAATTGCTAATCATCAGAGATCCAGAGCAACATGGAATGTCTCCAAACTACGTAAACATCTGGCAAGCAGTTAAGACTGAAAATTTACGAGAAGTATATCGTCTAATTGCAGTGTCAAACATCAATATTGTAAATATCACCTTTGATGATGTCTTCAGCATCGAGTGGTATCACCATGTTGATGCTCCCGAAAAACCAATTGACACCCTTTCTGAGCAGTGGATACAAAATGATCCATCAGCCTGTCAGAGAATCAAGAATTCAGGTGACCCGAGGAATTGTCTACAAGGTTGTTCACTATTGCATCTGGCATGCCAAAGTGACAACCCTGTGATGGTTGAGTTGTTGCTGCTATTTGGTGCCGATATAAATATGCGCGATTTCCACGGCAGGACTCCTTTGCACCATTGCATTGCTACAGGCAAGAACACAATGGCGAAGCATCTACTGAGAAGGTAAGTTGCATATTTTTCTGCTTATCCGTAAGAAATCTGGTACTTCATGAAAATAGATGACACCATCTAAGCATGTCTTAAGCCTAAATGATAAGAGTACTTCCCAACCCAAAGGAATAACCTATTAGGTGAAGTGATTATCCTATATACAAGTCGAAGATTGCTCTAGGCTAGCTCCGTTGGCCAATTTTTGACAACCTTATCAGACGACCACCATGCGGGGTCTGGCGGTTTCAGGATTCAGTTTATGATTTCATAGTGTCAAAGTATTACATGATTTATGATTACTTTGCTTCTATAGCGCTTGATAAAAGGATTTAATGAAATGATAGGATACAGATTCCCTTTTAAAATTCAATGCAGTGCTTTACTTAGTCTCATACACTCATGTCTCTTGGATAAATGATTTTAATTTGTCAATAATGTGCAGAGGTGCACGGTCTTCGATTAGAGACGGTGGGGGGTTTAGTTCATTAGATAGGGCTATGGAGAAGGGAGCAATTACAGATGAGGGGCTGCTTATTTTTCTCAGTGAAAGCGATTGAAGAAAACTCGGATTCCCCGAACTTTTAAAGCTTGCTTCTCTCCCATTAATATGATTTCAACTTATGTTGGCTGTTGTTGCTTATTTGCATAATCTTCTGGTTTATCTACATTTCCAATTGTTTCTCCTCCATAAACTAGATGAATTGTTGAAAGAGTGTTGGAAACTTCCCTTTTGTTCTTTGCAATGTTACATGATTTGCTTTGTTGATTGTATGCTCAAAGTTTCACTAATATTATTAGTCTCTAAACTTAGCAGGTTATGTCCCAAAAAGAAAAAACTTCTTTTCTTAATTTGATAGTCAACATAAGTGGTCAATCTTCTCTCCTTATTTTCCAATATCAAGTTTGATATGATATAGATTCATCTAGATGAGCAATAAGGTCTTTTTTTAGGGGCTACTCATATAAGGGTTTAATCTTTCAAAACAATCGAACAACAGCTACTCATATAAGGGTCTGATATTACCTATAACGTTTTCGAGTCTGACCAAATAAGGATCCAACTTTTTCATGTATGTTCAAATGCAAGTCTTTATTTAAAAATATTTTCAAAAGCTTAGGCTTTTATTTGAGAAAATTCGAAAATGTTAGACTTCTATTTGACTGTTTTGAAAGGTTAAGTGTTTATTTGAGTAAATACGAAAAATATTAGACCCTTATTTGACCGATTTAAAAAGTTTGACCCTTATACGAGTAATTATATGAAAGATTGGCAAGTTTATGGGGATGGAAACGTAAAGGTTGGACTTATATTCCACGTTCAATGGGAGAAGGTATCTAATTGAGCATTTATAGAGTTTATTATTATTATTATTATTGGAAACGATTTAGCTGCGATAGTTATAATAAGAGAAAATAACCTTAGTGATCGAAAATACCTTATAATATATAATTTTAACCAACATTTTTTGGATTTGCGAAAATGACCAACAAATTCGTAACGCGAACTCCAATTTTGCAACCTAGTTTCCAAATTCGCAACGCGAATTTGTAAATCGCAACACAGAAGTTAAATTCGCAACACAAAAGTCAAATTCGCAATACAGAATTCGAGTATTGACCAAGATCAAAGTCCGGGTATTGACCAAGATCAAATTTCGAATACTGACTAGAACTCACAATTTTTTCTGTTGGCTCATCATCGTCTAACTGGTCAATACGAAAATCGGAATTTGGTGCTGAAAGTTGATTGGGATTTGGATTAGGGAAATGTTGTGGGTTTTGAGATTATGTTTGATATTGTGTTTGGTATTGGAAATGTGGTGAAACAAAAATTTTTTGGTGATGAAATTGTGGTGGAACCATTAAATTTTGAGGTTGATAACAACAATGTACATTGTGAGCACCATAAACTGGGGTTGAAGAACTTAGTTGATTACTACCCGCTACTGACACAACTTCACTACTTCTAGGTTCAACAACATACAATGTAACATCATCTTCTTGCGAAACACTAATGTAAGCAATGAATCGTTCAACATCTTCATTGTCGGTTAGCAAATAAACTTTACATTTTCTCTGATAAGATAGCCTAAATCCACTTAGAGGCTCTAAATTCAATTTCTTTGCAACACGTAACATTAGAGTTTTATAAGTTAACTTTTTAATGACAGTTTTAGTTGAAGATTCATGGGTAAAGACACATATTGTAAAACACCATAAACATTCTCTCATGACCCTCCAAAACACAAATCTATCCAAACATGATCAACATTAGATGATTTCATTCTACAAATTGTAAATTAATTTACTAAACAAACGAGCTATAAACTACATATCATCACTAACTTAGAGAAAAACATACCTTTATTAAGTTGATAGTTGATAATTTGGGAGAGAAATTATTGAAAAATTATATATAAATAAAATTATGTAAAAAAATTAGAGATGGAGAAGGATGTTGTTGGATATAGGAACGGATGTCGCCGGAGAGAGTGATAGATGGAGATGGAATGAGTTGTGATTTAGGGATTTAGGTTATGAGTTGTTGCTGCTGCGTAGTTATATACTCAAAACATTTGTGTTGCGAAACTAAAACCTGTTGCGAAATTAAATTCGTGTTGCGAATTCAAAAATCGAGTTGCGAATTTGAAATTCAGTTGCGAATTTGAAATTCAGTTGCGAATTTGAAATTCAGTGTTGCGAATTTGGAAATCGCGTTGCGAATTTGACTTCTGTGTTACGATTTACATATTCGCGTTGCGAATTTGGAAACTGGGTTGAGAAATTGGAGTTCCCGTTGCCAATTTGTTAGTTATTTTCTCAAATCCAAAAAAAATTGGTTAAAATCGTATATTATAAGACATTTTCGGTCACTGAAGTTATTTTCTATTATAATAAAAGTTGTCTTGATTCTATGTTCACATGACTGAGATAAAATTGTTCGATATACCTTTCGGTTGTAATAATAAACTTTTGAGCCCAATAGTTATATGTTATTTATTATTATAAAAGGACTAGCCCATATTAAAATGGTATAATACTGTTAAGATTAATTGGATTTTAATAATTAAATAATGTTTGAGACATTGTATTAAATTTTTTTTACTTTTAGGTTTAAGGACAACAATGGTGTGTTCTTTTAATGAAAGACCATGATATTAAGAGGGTTTGGAGTAGTTACTTCTTTGGCTTATTTAATGACGGTGCCTCGCCCTGTAGAGATATGGTCGTTGATGGGTCAGCCAACCATTATACTACGACCAATAATTGCCCTACAAGTAGGATTGAGTTTGAGAAAGTCAAAATGGCTCTTAGAAAGATGGGGAGGGATAAAGCTGTGGGCCTAGATCAAATTCCTATCATTGTGTGGTTGACCCTAGGAGAAGAGGGAGTTAAGTGGTTGACAAACATCTTTAATATTATTTTAGAGACTGCCAAGATGCCATAGGAGTGGAGAGAGAGTCTACGGTGATACCAATCTTTAAGAATAAAGGAGATCCCCAACGTTGTGGCAACTACAGAGGTATTAAACTACTAAGTCATACCATGAAGCTATGGGAAAGGGTGATAGAGGCTAGGTTAAGACAGGTTACTAGGGTTTCGGAAAACCAATTTGGTTTTATGCCAGGCAGGTCGACTACGGAGGTGATTCATCTACTTCGACGACTTATGGAGAAATATAGGGAAAAAAATAGAGATATTCACATGGCGTTCATTGACCTTGAGAAGGCGTATGATAGCGTCCCACACGATACGATCTGGAATACCTTGGAAACAAGACGGATCCCAACTGCTTATATCCGGGCGATTCGTGATATATACTGTAGATCTACTACTTACGTCAGGACAACAGCTGGTGACACTGAGGCATTCCCTGTGGAAATCGGACTCCACCAGGGGTCGACTCTTAGCCCTTACATCTTCGCCTTGATTATGGATGACATCTTTTTTGCGACACCAGACGGTGTCTCATGGTGTATGCTTTTCGCAGACGAAATTGTCCTAGTTGTTGAAACAAAAACTGAGCTGAATAGTAGACTGACTACCTGGAAGACTGCTTTGGAAGAAAAAGGTCTAAGGGTCAATATTGAAAAGACAAAGTATTTATGTTCAAACTTTATTGGGAACCAAAACGATGAAGATGTAGAAGTATGCATAGAAGGACACGTTCTCCCCTCAAAGGATTGTTTCAAGTACCTAGGGTCTATGATACATAAATATGGGGGTGTAGATGATGACGTTACACACCATATAAAGGTGGGATGGAAAGTGGAGGGCTGCTACTGGAGTTTTGTGTGACAAGAAGGTGCCTCAAAAACTTAAGGGAAAATTTTATAGAATGGCAATAAGACCAACGATGCTGTATGGATCAGAATGTTGGGCAATCAAGAAGGATCATGTAAGGAGGATGGAGGCTGTAAAAATGAGAATGCTTCGATGGGCATGTGGTAGGACGCTGTTGGACATGGCACCAAACTCTGCTATTAGGATGTCTTTGGGGGTGGTGTTGGTATCCGAAAAGTTGAGGGAGGGAAGACTACGGTGGTTTGGTCATGTCCTTAGGCGAAAACCGTCGGATGCAGTCAGGAGGGTAGAGTCGATTACAGTCGACGGTGCCAAAAGGAGAGGACGACCAAGGCGAAAGTGGGAAGACTGCTTGAGATCTGATTTGAAGGATTTAGCCCTTACCGAGGACATGACCTCTGATAGGACAATATGGAGACTTAAGACCAGGGTAGCCGAGTAGTACGGGTCATTGCCATAGGGTGTAACAATCTCTGTCCTCTTTTTAATGCATTTGTAGTAATTTCCATGACTTCTACTTTATATACGTTTCTTTCATTGAATTTTATGAAGGCTTAGAACCAGGGTAGCAGAGTAGTGTTGCCTTAGTTTTAGGTGTTAACTCATCTGACTTTATTTCTTATTGTAACTTGCTATCTTGACTACTGTGTATCCTCATCTTCAGGTTTTCTCTTTTTAATTTTAGCTGGGTCTTACGTTTTCTGTATATATGCAGAGATTTTTAAGCAGGGATTTATTTGCAGGGATTACCCCCATTACAGACGAGCATATGAAGACTGCATATGAAGACTGTTTCAACTATGTATTTATTTATTTATACATGCATTGCATTTTATCTTTATTATTGTTGGAGGTCTTTCACGGAAGTTGCTCTCAACCTGGCGTTGGGGGCAGCCTACTACCCTACCTCCCCCTTACTCCATTGCATATGGGAATAGGGTTTTGTTGTTGTTGTTGTTGTTGTTGTTGTTTTAGCTCTCAAAGTTGTTTAATTATCATTCTATACACTATCCCTAACTTAAAACCCTAAATTAATAACCTTAAACCATAACCTTTAAGCCATAAACTCTAAACCTTAAATCCTAACTTAAAACCTTTAATTTAGGGGTTTAAGTTAGGGAAAGGGTATATAATGATGCAATTGAACAACTTCGAGGGTTAAAATACGATGTGTGAAAATGATAAATTGAGTCTACTACAGGGGCAAAGGTAATATTTTTGCCTTATTTTTATTTCTTATTTTTACTTTTTTAATCTAATAATTTTGTTTTTATGACACCATTTTTTCTGTCTTCATGACATGGTTTTCTCTGTCTTTTTTTAGTTTTATTTTTCATTCGTTTGGTCGTTTATTTTTCTCAGGGTTATATTTGACGTTGTCGCAACTGATCAATATGGAGCTTATTTGTTATCCCGCTGATCTTCCCTGTTTTGGACCTCGACTTAGATTTGGATACGTAAAAAGCATTCATAGATGGTTTTCTTCGATGCTTGGCTCTAATTTACGTTTGTCGGTGGTATTTCAATAATTTAATATCATGTTGTGGTTCGTTTGTCATAGCAGTTAGATCTATTCATATATCCCTATTGTTTAATGTCTTTTAAATGGGATTTTCACCTTTTCATTGTATGGTATATGATTTTAATTGGCTAGTTTTTCTTTTTGTCTTAATGATTATATAAAAATATCCTAATTATGTGTTTAGTTTATGATTCTAATTATAAGCCCTCATTATATTTTAGATATTTTTTCTTAATAAAATTAGCTGATTTTTCCTGTCAAAAAATTAAAATTAATGAGTTAGATTATTTATTAGGGTTATGATCCTCAAACTACATTTTTTTCTTTGTATTTCATCTTCAAAATATTGAGAACGCTTTCTCTAACATATTTTCGTGCTAATTCGAAATATCAAAAATAAAAATTTAAGATTTTTTTATTTACCATAAATTCAAATATATTTTCAAATCTAATTTCTGTTCTTGATAATTTAACATAGTGTCTTACTAAATGCTTTAAACACAGCCACGTTTATATACAACTTTCCATACAATTTTATGCGGCGAAAACAAAAATTAACCAGAAACTTTCCAAAAAATAAAATCATTAAGAAAATGAAAAAAAATTGAAATATACTTTTCTATACGAAATTTAATCGCCAAATTATAATATTTTAGCTGAACATATATTTATCAAAGAAAACTTTACATGCAAACTTATCTTTCCTTTCTCCACTTGTAACCTTGCACCCGTTACCAGCCAATACCCTGGACTATCTTCAGGCCCTCTACATAACTGCGACGTTTCTACGAACTTCAATAGCTTTGGTGTTTGGACCGGTACCGGCGGCCCGGTTGGGTACACGGCGGAATCCACCACAACCGCCACCTCCTCCTTTTCTTTCAATGCACTTCCGGTTAAGGATTGGCTTATCGCTGAAAGTAAACCAGACTTTTGCGAGAACCCTGACTCGGCTTGCGCCCAACTAGACTGCACTATGAAAGAGTCCGACACCTTTGAAAACACCAGCCTAAGATGTAGAACACTCTTGGAATCGTGTTTCTTTACGTGCAACTGAGCGCCGGTGACGATGTAAACGACGTCTTTGACGGCGGCGGCCCATTTGGGGTTGTATTTGACAGGGGCGGTGCAAACATGGGAGAAGTTTTTCCGATGAATGGCTTCGAAGAATCGAACATTATCGGCTCTATCTTCTGATGCATGCCAGTATTGGATGTCGTCCATCTTGTTTTCAAATGTCTTTGGTAGATTAGATAGATATTGAAGGTGAATTGCCAGCCTGAGCAATTATTAAAGAAAAGAATCAGAATTTTACTGTTGAAAAAAATAAGTACAATGACAAAAAAAATAATATTATAGTTTGATTAAATAATCATTTTAGCTTATAAATTTTATAGAGTATTTTAGCTTATAACGTTTTGTTTTGGGTAAAATAATCTCTTCCGTTAATAGAAAATATTAATCAGCAAACAGTCGACACTTCAAAATACGAGTCTTTTTCCCTAAAATAAAAGGTTAAGAGTAAAATATTCTATAAAAATGAGGGTTAAATGACTATTTAGTAAAATATTATAGACATATTTACCTTAAAATAAAATATTGAGATAAAAATTATTAAAGAAAAAAGAATAAAAGTCGAAATGATTATTTAGTAAGACATAAAAAGATTTTTGTTTTTGACATTAAAAAAAGTGTTAGTTTAAAGATACCTATTACATTTCATGCCCTCAAGATACAAGCGCATCCCAGTGACTGGCCTCCTTCCTACTATGACCTTGATAATAACACCCATCCAGTTATAAGATTATTAGTTTTCGATTCAATTGATTTCCATATAATTTAGTTTTGCATTATATGAAACATGAAAAATTGAATGAAAATGTCAATAAATGGGACTATAATGTACCTGAGAAGTGTTGACATAAAGCTTAGGACCCATTAAGTTGAAATGAAGGACTGGTGAAGAAGAAGCCCTTTTAGGGGAAGGACCCAATGGAAGGTCATTGTGAATGGGAGCCCAAATATTGTGTGATTGGAAGTCCAGAAAGTACTGTAGATCGCATATAGGTGGCTTGTCTGCATTAATTTGGAATATGTTATTTTAATTATTTATTCTTTTGTTTTCAAGTATTTAAAGTACGGGTAAACTACATATTTAGTATCTAAACTATTAGTTTTGTTCCAATTTAATACCTAAACTTTACTCTTTTTTAAAATCATACCTAACATTTAGTTTAGGTTTCATTTTGGTACCCGCCGTTAAAAACTTAACGGTGATATTGACATGCCACCATAAGATACTGCTACATCATCATTGGAAAAAAATTAAAAATGTTATGGCAGTAGTTATGCTAATTTTTTAATGGTGGATACCAAATTGAAACCTAAATTAAACGTTATATATGATTTTGAAGAAAATAAATAAGTATCAAAATAGAATAAAAGTAATAGTTTAGATACTAAATGTGTGGTTTACCCTTAAAGTATTGTAGACTTACATCGAAGGTATAAATTGATGGCATGCGACAAGAAACCCTTGCCTGGGACAGCTTTAAGCAGAGAAGTAATGGGAATGAAGTTAAAGTGGATGGCATCGGCCCTTCCAGCAACTGTTGGAAGCCACTCACAATGGCTGTTAGCTTCTGTGTCACCTCCCCTTTTTGAACATATTACACTGATTCCCTGCAAAAACCCTTCCCTTCTATTTTACTCTTTTCTACCTTCATAATTATAACCTACCTAATACTTACATCTTGCATACATGTATCTAATCTAAATACGTAAATAGATATGTTCATAAATCCAATCTAAAAATTGATATAAATGACTATTTAATCAAATATTAGAATTCTTTTTGTTCTAAAATAAAATGTTTGGTGTCAAAATGCTAAAAAAAAATAGGATAAACTATAGGATTGATTAAGAGCAAAAAAAGACTGACATTTGATGAAATAATAACATTTTATTATCTAATCTAACATTTTATTTGCATATTTTAAATATTTTGTTGACTATTTTTGCCCTAAAATAAAATAGGATAAAATACTGGATTTATTATTTTTGTTTAAGTTTTGTACATTTTTCCTTAGTGAAATAAAAAACATAATATTTTGTCACATTCATTTTTATTTAATTAAGATGTGGTTACTTAGAGTTAACTGTCGTTAGACCTTTAACAGAGTGTTGACGTGATTGAATGAATTTATAAAATTAAAAAGGGTAAACTACACAAATGTTCATTAATGTTTGAGTAAATTTCCATTTTTCCACTGAAGTTTCAAAAGTAACAAATAGGTCACTAAAACATCAAATAGGTCATTGAACAATGATTTTATATCTAATTTACCCAAAGCTTTCTATTTTTTTTTCCAATATATATATATATACTTATACTTTTTAAATTTTAAAATAAAACTTATAAATTAGCTTTTTTTGTACATGAAGCAATCAAATATTTTGAATCATAAACAAAAAAATTAGAAAGTTTTTGGGATAAATTAGATATAATATTATTGTTCAAAGATCTATTTGATGTTTTAGTGACCAGTTTGTTACTTTTGAAACATTAATAGGGTGTACAAAAAACTTAAACATTAATGAACATTTGTGTAGTTTACCATGTTTAATTTTATAAATTCATTATACCACGTCAGCAATCTGTTAAAGGTATAACCATCAATGACTATATCTTAATTAAATAAAAATGAATGTGATCAAATCTTAATAAAAATAAATAAAAATAATCAAATATTATGTTTTTTAAATTTAGTGAGGAAAAATGAACAAAACTTAAAAGAAAGTGATCAATCATGTAGTTTACTCAATAAAATATTAGGGTCAAATACTCTAAAAACATAGACAAAAATATTTATTTAATCAAATATTAGGAGTTTTTTTTTAATTGTGCTAAAACTAAGTATGGTATAACCTACCTCTTTGGTACTGATGGAGGGGTAGCTATTGAGAGCAAGAGGCAGTTGATCAAAGATATTGAAAGCCTGTGGTACCTGTACACCATACATAAATAAATGAATAAAAAATGCATATAAATATAAAAACAATAATAATAATTGGAATTAAAAAAATTGATAAAAGAAGAACCTTGAGCTTTGGGTCTTTGGAATTGGGGTTAAAGGAGCAAGTGCCGGTAAATAATTGGTCACCAAGATCATCGAGATGTTTCTTGAGGTGTGAAGGTTGTAAATCCGAAGATTTGTGTTGCCTAACCAAAACTACATCTTGCCCACCGATGCTTAGCCCCACTATGATGTGAGTCCCGTATTTCTCTATGAATCTGCCAATTCAAATAAAACTAATTAATTTAATGTAAATGCACATCCATCGCTTAACAACAAATTTTAACAATTTCATATTTGATTTTTTAATTAATTAATTAAAATCATTGACATTCTGCCTAATTGATAAACTAACTATTTCTATGGGCTACTTGAAATTGTCAACCTAATGCGACCCAGTGTACAATTTTCACCAATTAATAAAAATAATAATGATGATGCTAATAATAATGTTGTTTCACGTCCCATTTTCATGATTTAGAATGAAAGCAACTCTAAACAACTCATGCATTATTTAGTTTCTAGAAGCCAAAATTTTTTTAAAAAATCGATTTTTTATGAGCAGAAAAAAAGACTAAATAAAATGGGGTTTTCCGTTGAAAATATTGGAGTTCTTTTTAAAAAAATTATTATTAGGCAAGCAAAATTAAGTAAATAAAACGATGCAAATTTAAATACAAAATTAAAAAAAAACAGTAACATGTAGTCCTTTTATGTTGTCCAATGGTTAGGCTTTGTAACTACAAAAATGCAATAACAAATATTTTTTAGCAAAACCAAAAGTTAAAAAGTAAAATAAAATTATAAGGAGAAATTACTTAGAAGTTGGTCTTCGTTTGGGGTATCCTTAATTAGTATAATACCATCTACAATATTAATTAAAATCTTATAATTCTTAGACTTCCACTCTTTATTCCTTCCCATTTAACTAAATAAATAAATAAAATATTGAAATCCTATCTATAAAGTAATTTTGCAATAGTTGAAACTCATGAATTCTATCTTAGAAACGTTTAAATAGCCTTAAAATTGGTTTTCATGATTTATTCTCTCTTTTTTCCCTTTTGCTAACTTATGTATTTTTTTTAAAAAAAATTATTATCTATACATTGATATTTAAAAAATAATTGTATAAATAATATTGAGATGATGTTAAATGTTTTATTTTTATTTTGTAATTTATTTAAAATAATATTTAATATCATCTTAACATTGATTATAAAATTATTTTGTCACCAAATATATATTAAATAAGAATCCATTATTATTATTATTATTATTATTATTATTATTATTATTATTATTATTATCCTATTATCTTATCACATTTGTAATTCCTTTTTGAAAAATCATATCAAATCGAAATATTCTTTTAAGTTTAAAAAACACATCAGTACATTTTAAAATGAAAAATAAATTTATAAAATTGTCTAATTTCTAATGCATTGACTAAGGATGATATTTATGAAAAACGCAATTAACGCATTAATTACTTCTTGAATTTAATAATTCTTTGGTTAATCTAACTCATACTAAAGTCATTATATTTTAGGGTGAACTATTTATTTTATTTTATATATATTTTCATATTTCTATTTCGGTTATTTAATTTTTAAAAAATTATATATTTAAAATTATATGCTGATGTCTTATCGTTAAATAATTATTAACGTGATATGAAAAGTTACCTGGCTAGGGCAGGAGGATCCCAAGCAGAAGGAACATCATTGACAACTTCATGAGAAAGAAGGAGAGGATACCGATCGATATGAAGATTGAACAATATTATGAAATACCCATCAAGTCCTAAGCATTTGATTTTCCCAGCATCTTTCCCCCACGATCCGCTTTGGAATCCGAACATTGAATTGAATTCCCCCGATGGAATCTTCCCTCCCACGCCACATTTCTGGTTGAAAAACTCCGCCATCTACAATCACACAATTCCCATCCATCAAAACAGACAACCAAACACGCTGAAAATCAACACCGAAAGCATACCTGAATGAAATCAAGGATATCGGACTGATGACGAGTACGATCGCCTTTATCGCATTTGATATCGACGGAAACGTCTTCAAAAGCTCCGAAACCAGGTATGGTGATCTCTCTCTTCTCGCTTTCGTTGAGTAAAATCAGCCTCTCTTTGCCTTTGCAATACTTGAGTCGAAAATCCGACGTTAAATCGAAGCCTTTGCCCAGGCTATTGAGAGCCGTCTCCACTATTCCATTGTTCCTGCAACTCATCGTCTCTTCGGCTTCTGTGTCCCTCAGGTAAGCTATAGAAAAGACTAGAAAAATGAAGATGCAGTATATATATATATATATGAAAAGACCGTGGAAAAATTCGTTGGGTTATTTAGGGAATGTTAAGACTGGGAATATTATTGGGCGAGTGAGAACGCTATAAAATGCTATGAACTGTACTCAAATGATAAAGTGTAGGAAGTTTCCTTTGGTTCCATCCCTTAAGCTTGACTGCTTTTAAAAATAATATAAAATTCTATATATTACACACATAACATAATTGCTTCTCTGTATAAAATTATAGTTTTCTATTATACAAATTGAGTTAGCTCAAATAATTAAAAATTAGTTATTTTTCTATAAATTTCAAATTCGGAACACATTATCCCCAAAGATATTTAAATAATTATGGTTTGGTATTAAAACATATACATAATTTAATAGTAAAACTTAAAATTTTATAGTAAAAGTCAATCTATTTATGATTTCATACAAGCTAGGCCTAATTGTACAGGTGTCATACAATTTTAACCCAAAAGAGACTCAAGGATTCAACGTCAACATTATGAAAACCAGAAACTCCAACATGTTGCGTTTGCGTACACACATAAGTCACCTTTTTCTCTCTATTCAGGCTATTTTGTTAACAATTTTTTATTTATTTAAAAAAAGCAAGTTTGACACAATAAGTTAAGCTTCTTAATTACCGCAGCAATATCTCCATCTTGAATACACTTTTTCATTGCATTGGTCTCTTACAAATTTACTCATGAGCTGGTAGCATTTGAATAAGATGTCATTCATGAAACTATATTGTATAAATTAACTTCTTATTTCTCAATAGAGTTTTGGATGTGTTCGGAAAAGTTTGAGGTATTAGGACTTCTAGTCTTTAGGGTTTGATTGTGTATAAATATTAATTTTTTTATTTTAAAGTTGTTTAAATTTGAATATACTTCAATTATTATAGTAATTGATTCTGACAGCAACTATACGAATGTATTGATTGTAATCTTCATTTCATGTATATGTTGTATTGATTAACTCTAAATATAATCATACAAATATATTGATTCTAATTACAACTTGAAGTTTTAAAAATATGTATTATTTAAAAAAATTGAATTCTGGTGAGTTGTGGAAAGTATGTGTGCTCATAACAGTATCCACAATAAAATTAAATAAAAATCGTGACATCAAAAGTTTATTCACACAGTTTAACAAACCTGTTGGTTTTTGACAAATATCTCACATTTGTTTTGTATAAGGAGGAGGGGAAATTCTTTTGTTATAAATATAGTCCTCCTCCTTAGTTAAGCATCCCACAAATATAAGTCTTCTTCACTATTAAAGGCTATTTGTACTCTTTCTTTCTCTTTATAATATTTCCTCTATTAGTGAAATATTATTTTAGTATTGTTCGAGGAGGTAAGCATAATTTTGGGCTAACATCGTTAAATTTTGGTGTTCTCTTTATGTATATTTATTAGCTATTGTCAGGTATAGTTGTTGTTAATTATTGTCCTATTAAAATTACTTGTCTTAGTAGTTCTGTCTAAGGAAAGTGGGTTTTAAGATGGACCATTGTGACCCCTCCTCTTTCCTGGGAATCTACCTTGGGGTGATTTTTAGTACAATCATTTTCACACTAGTCACCTAGATAATAGTTTTCAAGGTGAATTTATTATTATTGGTGGAAATTAACCCGAATTCCACAACAATTGGTATCAGCGCTCTTGGTTTATTTTAGTATGCTCTGTGGTTGCGGCTTAGGCTGATCTTCCACATCAGAAAAAAATTCCTTGGGGTAATTGACATTCCGCATTGACAGCTATTAAATAGAATTTGTAGCAGAAATGGAAGACGACACAAAAACATCCGTAAGAAATGCTATGACAAATGTTAGATTTGCAGTGGAGATTTTTTATGGCACCGGTCATTTCGGCATGTGGCAAAGTGAGGTTCTAGATGCCCTATTTCAGCAGGGTCTAGACATTGCTATTGAAGGAGAGAAACCAGATGATGTTGAAGAGAAAGAATGGAAGAGGATCAATAGATTGGCATGTGGTACTATTCAATCGTATATTTCTAGAGAGCAGAAGTATGCATTTTCTAAAGAAACTTCTGCAAGTAAATTGTGGAAGGCACTGGAGGAGAAATTTTTGAAGAAAAGCGGTCAGAACAAGCTCTACATGAAAAAGAGATTGTTCCGCTTCAACTATGTACCATGTACCACTATGAATGATCACATTACTAGCTTTAATCAGCTGGTGACTGATCTGATGAATATAGACGTGACTTTTGAAGACGAAGATCTAGCTCTGATGTTGATGGGATCACTTCCTGATGAGTTTGAGTATCTTGAAACTACTCTACTTCATGGGAAGGTTGATGTGTCTCTCAGTGAAGTAACTGCTGCCTTGTGTAGTTATGAATTGAGAAAGAAAGACAAACAAGAAAACACAAGTGTCGAAGCAGAAGATCTTGTTGTTAGAGGCCGTTCGAAGAGTCAGAATAAAGGAAGGAGAGGGAGATCGAAGTCAAAGTCTAGATTGAGCAAAGATGAATGTGCCTTTTGTCAAGAAAAAGGGCACTGGAAGAAAGAATGTCTCAGGCTAAAGAATAAAGGCAAACCTGAAAGGGGAAAGGCTATCTCAGAATCAAATATGGTCGAGTATGATGATACAGATTCAGATTTCGCATTCGCTGCTACGCCATCAACCAGCTGTTCCAGTTCATGGCTGTTAGATTCAGCTTGTAGCCACCATATGACCCCCAATAGAGAATGGTTCTTTGATTTTAAAAAACTAAAATGTGGATTTGTCTACACATCAAATAATTCCCCTCTTGACACACTTGGAATTGGTTTAATTCGCTTGAGGAATCAGGATGGATCAATCAGAACCTTAACAGGTGTCCATTATGTACCAGATTTAATGAGAAATCTCATCTCTGTGGGAACCTTAGAGTCAAAGGTTTAGAAGTGAGGGCAAAAGATGAGATTATGAGGATTATCTCTAGTGCACTGGTGATAATGAAGGGAATCCGGAAAAGAAACAATGTGTATTACTTTCTGGGTAGTACAATTGTTGGGACAGCAGCAGTGGCAGCTTCTACTGATGAACAGGAGTCAGAAACAACCAGTTTATGGCATATACGCTTGGGGCATATTGGTGAAAAATACTTGAAATTGCTGATAGATCAAGGATTATTGAAGGGTGCTCGGGCTTGCAAATTAGCTTTTTGTGAGCATTGCATCAAAGGGAAGAAGACGAGGGTGAAATTTGGAACAGCAATTCATGATACTAAAGGTATTTTGGATTATGTTCATTCAGATGTATGGGGGCCTTCCAAGACAACTTCATTGGGAGGAACACACTATTATGTCACCTTCGTTGATGATTTTTACCGGAGAGTTTGGGTGTATACAATGAAGACAAAGGATGAGGTGCTAGGATTTTTCCTTAAATGGAAAAAGATGGTGGAGACTCAAACAGGCAGAAAAATCAAACGTCTCCATACAGACAATGGTGGAGAGTACAAAAATGATCCATTTCTGAAAGTATATGAAGAATAAGGTGTTGTTAGGCACTTCACTGTCAGAAGTACACCACAACAGAATGGGGTGACAGAGCGTATGAATCGAACATTAGTGGAGAAAGTTCGGTGTATGTTATCTAATGCTGCAGTAGGCAAAGAATTTTGGGCTGAGGCTTTGGTCTATGCTTGTTACCTTGTCAACCGTTTACCATCGACTGCTATTGGTGGTAAAACACCATTAGAGAAATGGTTTGGAGTACCTGCTACAGATTATGATTCCTTACATATGTTTAGTTCCACTGCATACTACGATGTTAAGGAGTCAAAGCTGGATCCAAGAGCAAAGAAGGCGATCTTTATGGGGATCACCTCTGGTGTGAAAGGTTATCGTCTTTGGTGTCCAGAAACAAAGAAAATAATCTTCAGTAGGGATGTTACCTTTGATGAATCTACCATGTTGAGAAAGGTGACTTCAGAAAAATTTGAGCAGACAGATGGAACTCCCAAACAGGTGGAGTTTGAAGGAAGCAGAATTGACCCAGCCAGTAAAGAAACTGATGTTGACTCTCCTATGGTAGAAGAAGAGTCAAATGAAGAAGATGTTCAGACCTAAGAACCTCCACAGCAACATGAATCAATTACACTCAGAAAGGGAAAGAGGACCATTAGACATCCTGCTCGTTATGCTGATATGGTCTCTTTTGCATCACCAATTGCAATTGATGACGTTCCTGCCACTTTTAATGAAGCAGTCCAAAGTTCAGAACATAAAAAATGGAGGATCACCATGAATGAAGAAATGCAATCCCTTCAAAAGAATCAGACGTGGAAACTAGCTAGTCTTCCGAAGGGAAAGAAGGCAAGTGGGTGCAAGTGGGTATATACAAAGAAAGATGGATTTCCTAACAAGAATAACATCCGCTACAAAGAAAGATTGGTGGCTAAAGGCTACGCCCAAACGGAGGGAGTTGATTATAATGAAGTATTTTCTCCAGTTGTAAAATATTTCTCCATCAGAATTTTGTTGGCTTTGGTAACACAATTGGATTTGGAACTAGTTCAGATGGATGTAAAAACTACATTTTTACATAGACTTGGATGAGGAAATCTACATAACTCAGCCAGATGGATTCAAAGTTGCTGAAAAAGAAGAGATGGTGTGCAAATTAGAAAAATCGCAATACGGATTAAAGCAATCTCCAAGGCAGTGGCACAAGAGATTTGACAAGTTTATGATAGGGCAAAATTACACAAGAAGCAAATATGATCATTGTGTGTATTTACGCAAGCTACAAGACGGATCCTATATATATCTTCTTCTTTATGTTGATGATATGCTGATAGCTTCCAGGAGTTAGACAAAAATTATGAAACTAAAGACTCAATTGAACAGGGAGTTTGAGATGAAGGATCTTGGTGAAGCAAAGAAGATTCTAGGCATGGAGATATCAAGGGATAAGAAATTGGGGAGGCTTTGTTTGTCTCAGA